AAAGCTTTCTCGTCACAAATGCCCCAAGGAAGGCTGCATTAACAACAGAGGGATGAACCAGCTTTTCCCACAGGATCCATAGCACAGTTTAACTCTTAATCTCATCAGGTGCACTAATAGTTTATCTAAGTCCTGGCTTTCAACTGCGTAACCATCTATCATCCTACGGAAAATCTTTACTAATTAAAAAAAAATTGAGGTTGAACTATTCTAGTGGAAATCAATATTCAGCATCTGAGCTATGAGTCAAACGTGATAGATTAATCAGTGGAACAATGTGCAAAACAAAAAAAGAATGAGGAAAACAAAGAGCTTTATTTCCTAAACTCTACACTGAATGCAAATTTTATTTAAAAATTTTTTTTACATTGGAATTTACAATATCTCTGGGTAGCTCATTTACTCATATTCTTTTAACCTAAGAAAATGATAACAAGGAAGACATTAAATTTTTCCATAGCTTAATTTGAACACATTTAAAATAAGGAAATTATAGGCCAAATAATATCTAAGGTAACAAATATATCTAATTCTATGCTATTGTAAAACCTAAAAGGACAAACAGTAAAACTAATATTTCCATTGGGCTTTTTAAAATAGTTAAGAATTATTACATAAATGATCTTATACCCAACCATAAAAAAATGTATAGATCAATTACAGGAATCTAAAAAGTCACTTCTCAACTTTCCAGTGTGGCCAAAATAATTTTCAAAGAGCATTTTTCTCTTTGTACATCTCATTCTAGTCCAAGCTTTAATATTACATTTTTACTCCCACTTGAAAAAAATCTAAATGTCAGTGGTCCCAAATAGGAAGTTGGGTATGTCTGTCTTTCACTGAGCTCATGATGCAAGCAACACAGAGAAACTAGAACAAAGCAAAGAATAACGGTTTCCAGTTAACACATTCAGCAGTGATTCTGGATGTTGACCACAAAAAGCATGCTGGTCAAGGGAAATGTCATCAGGGAGGTGGTCAGACTTCCTTATTAAGGAAGTAGGTGTTTTCCTGTGTCCAGGCGAGTGGGAGGTCTGCAGGCCTCAGCAGTGTCACAAAGTAACCAATGTGACAGGAATGAAGATGAGCAGAAATAGATTAATAATCCTCTTCAGGTCCACACCAGAGTCCCTTTTATGAGTATGTTTCTTTTAGGTTCTCATTGCTGCATCTTCTTGTGATTTAGAATAAACTCCTTATATGTACATACATACCTCTAAACTAGTTGATATAAGGAATTTATATGTGCTAATTCTACTAATTCAACATTAGAATTAGGCTTTGATTGAAGCATACAGAATGGTTATAAGAAAATCTCAACATGGAATAGAGTAGAAACAGGATTTCTGTTTGCAATCCACCTTTCATATGGCCATTTGGGATCTTTGATTGTGCCAGGTGTCATCTTTTTCCTCCTGTGTGACCCTCATAGCACCAGAATGACTGCATGCATTCAGGAGACAGCCCCATCTGCTCTTTACACTAATGGTGACATCCAGCTGAAAGAATTTATGAAATTTTTAAAGGAAAATATTTAGACCTCTAATCACCTTGATTCTGAAGCAGTGTCCTGTCTAGTGCAACAGGAAACAAGGAATGTCATTAGCACAGAGAAAGAGACATATGTCCAAAACCAGGATTTAGAATAAAAAGGCATTCCCATAAGTCACTAATGCATAAATAAGGTTATTTCAATAATGAACCAAAATGAGTGATTATACGATTTTTGTCAGTGAATATGAGACCTACAGAGAACCAAAACAGTATACGAAGCATTTCATCAACAAAATCCTATTTTCCCATTGAAAAGTTTGATAAGTAGAAGGAATGACTATCATTTTACTTTTGACAAATGAACTTCAATACAAATCACTCTTAATTATAGGTTTAAAGGCTGAGAAGCAACAATGAGTGACAAGATGCTTGTTGATAGGAAAAGACATGTTACATTTGATAAGTGGATATTATATAAATATACTGAATCATCATAAGACGATTATAGTTTATCTACCAAACAGTGAAATAACATTACATCTAAAAAATTGATTTGAAGTAAGGTAAAACAAAACATACACTATTCCCTTTCCTTTACCATTTTAATGCTGTGAAAATGAACCTACTGATCCATAAACCATGACATTAAAAATATCTGGGCTCCTTTTTCTCAGCCTGCTTAAAAACAGTAACCTGACATGTTTTGAATAATGCAGAAGAGTGCCTAGAGAAGAATGCCTCGTCTGAATTTCAAATTTCAACTTAATATGCCGTCTACAAAGTAGTATCTGTTAACCTATATGCTCACCTACTCTATACCTTACTTTACGGCGCATATTTGGATGCATATTTGGAGACCTATTCTACAAAGCTAGTAAGATATGAGGTCACCAAGTGAAAAGAAAACTGCACTTCACAGTGTAATTGTGAGCCTGCTCCCCTCGATGTCCTGCGTGGTTCCGGACATCATGGTAACCGCGTACGTACAATACTCCCTCTGAAAGTAGTGACAAGGGGATACCGCGAGTTCAGAAACCACTGGATTAAAACCAGGCTCTTGAATGTCCTCCTTCCTAGGAAATACATACAAAAGTAGTTCAAGTAAGGGGACATGATGTGTGCAACCCATTCATAAATGGCATAGAATAAAAAATGTATGTACAGTTGCATGTATATATTCGTATGTAAATGGAAAGAGAATGGTAAAGCAACTGGGGCAAACAGTAAAGACAGATGAATCTGGGTCAAGAGTTAGCAGGAGTTCTCCATAATTTTTGTAACTTTTCTGCAAATTTAAAATGATTTCCAAGTACAAATTTAAAAAGCACTCTCTTCAAAATTGTAGCTGGTAAATGTATGTCTAAGTGATGTATTCGGTGAAATAACCCTATTAAGAGTTAATTCTGTCCAACATTTTTATTACTGCATAGACAGTCATCAATAATGCATAAAATATACAACTAAAGGCATAAATAATAATATCCAGGACAGTCCTCTTTAAAAGCCAAAAAAAAAACTATGAAAAAACCCACATGTCCATCAGCAAAAAATGGATCAATACAATATTAAATGGAATACCATACAGCAATATAAATGAATAAACTAAAGTGCACATAAAAACAGAATAAATGTCACAAACTAAAATTCATGAAAGAAGCCAGATATAAAAGAATTTATACTGTATCATTCCATTTAAATAAAGTTCAAAACCAGGCAAAACTAAGCTATGGTACGTGCAGTCAGGACCGGAGTACTATTTGGGTGGGAAAACGGGAGAAGCTGCAGGGCTGCTGGTAGCATCACATTTAATGACGAGGCGGCAGTTACAGGGAATGTTCATTCTGATCAACCAAATGGTTACTTTTTAATAAAACATATTTTCATAAAAAAAATGTGTCTTTTTAGCCTACTGATTCTATGCTGTAAAATTATTAAAAAGTATACAAAAGTATAGAAAAAGGGGCTTTCTAATTTTCAGAATTTCTCAGAGCCAAGAATACATGACAAAGTACAAAAAAAAAATAGCAAAATTTTGAATGATCCTACAAATTTAAAAGTTCTCCTCATATTTAAATGTAGCAATTTGAATAAGATGACAACAAAAAGGTGACATTTTTCAGTGCAAAATGAACATAGAGTTGCCCTCTGGACTTCAATATCCTTCTACTAAAATAAGATATAGAGGACCAGGGGAAGCTATGAGAGAGAAGAATATACACACTAAAGCAGAAACTACTAAGGATGAACACATAACCTTATATTAAGCAGCATAAATTCAGAGAAACGTTCAGATTCAAAATTTCATTAATCATCTATGTTGGAGTGAAAAATATTGACACGCATGAACAAAAGATACTCAGAGATAATTCAAGGAATAGTCTAATTTCACTAGTCATTGAGGGTTACCTAGTTACATGTTAACTTTGGGGATTTCTTAAGTCTAAAGAAAAGGAGGCCAAAAGCATACACAGGATGAGCGGGTGGCTGACAGCATGCATCCCTGTCCTTGAGTGCAAGAATTGCCAATTATCAAACCACGCCCAACAACTCAAATGTCCATCATCAAGAGAGTAGATAAACTGTGATGCATTAAATGGAATACTATACAGCAGTAAAAATGAATGAGCCAAGCCACATATGAAAACAGGAATGAATCAATTCATAAACTTCTAAGCCAACAACAATCCCTTGAAAATTCCCAGCTTAACCCATCTCTTCCCAAAGGCAGGAACACCCCACTAAGAATATGAATGATCAGCAAGAGTTCATAATTTCAATTTTTTAAAAAGGCAGTTTTCTAAAATCACTATATCTAATTTTGTGTAGCTATAAGAGCAAAGAATAAAACTCAAGGGGCTAGTCATTTTCAATATTGGGAACCAGAACAAAGTCAAATGTCTTCAAAATTCAAGAGATCTCTTATGCCATCTGAAAATGTTGCTATCAACAAGATCCTGTACCCATTGTGTGACTTACACTGAGATTCAGAGAAGTAAGTCTATGGTGTTAAAAAATCAAAGAAATGTCTAGGAAATATTCTATATACTTAAAAATAAAGATATAGTATATCCATCACTTCAATAGAGTTGTTTAAATCTGTGGCTTTTAAGTTCTGTAAGATATGTCCAGAGAGCCTGAGAGAAAAGGGCATGACCAGGGGAGGTTCAGTTAGCATGTGTTAGCACCAGGTCTTGTTCCAAACAGGAACAAAGGTTAGACTCTGGGGCTCAAGGCAAAGAAATATACAAATAGCCCGAAAATAATAATAATTTTAAAGTAAGATTATCATGTACTCAAAAAGCTGGTTTTAAAAGTTTCGAAACACCGGTTTTAGAAGTGTTCTTAGTAAAATGAAGTGGAATGAAAACCAACGTGTTAGAAACAGATTAGAGCAAGCACAACATAAGGATGCACAAATGCCACTCCAAAATGAGCCACTCCTTAGTAACGTATCAGTATGTCACTGCAGAAAATTTTGCTTTGCAAACAGAGGACACTGGTCTCACCTGATTTCATTTTCATACTGTGGGGACAGTCTACCTGAACTCTGGTAAAAGCTTTTCAGGAAAGAGGGGGCAGTGAAGGAAGGGGCAGAGAAGGAAGTGTGCAGACTTGGAAGGCTGGAGGAAGAATTATTCTCCTTGTGCATGCGCCGGGCAGATGGAAGGATGCTGAGTACAGAAAACACAGCAAATTTGTCTTAATGTATATTGTGGCAAAGTCTTCATTCACTATGACAAAGTATATACACAGGTTCTTGTTATTAATTCAATCTTTCCGTTAAAGACTCAGGGCTGGATCTCATATGGGGGAAAAAGAGGGAGCATTCAGTTCTCTCTACTTAAAAGTATGACCCCGTTTCACCTTCCACCAAATGAATTCCTCCTCATCTGTGTAGTATGTGCTTGTCACTAACAATTTCTTAATAATTTTAGGACAAAAAGTGTTTGTTTTTACGTGCAAAGGATACTTCATGGGGGGAAAAATAGGAAAGCACAAATAATTACAGGAAACAAGTTTCAGAAGAAAAAAACAAGGATCGGTAGTTCAAAGACTTAACCATTTTAGAGACATAAACTCTTAAAATTTTAAGAACAACATGTTTCGTTGTTGGAATCATCATAACAACTTTGGCCTAACAAACATTAATGTCCATATTCTTTCTTGCAGCCATGGTTTTATCTGAATCCCTAAATCTCCAGCATAGCTCTTTTTATTTTTAGATTTTTTCCCCCAGCAACTTTTTACAATGATACAAATAGCATCTTTTTATACTGATAGAAATTATTTGAGCTTATACATTATAAAATGTGGAAATCATAAGGAAGAATAGAGACATCATTATAATTTAAAATAATATTTTTAATTCTTAAAAATAATTTTCCTGGGGGGAAAAAAGAGATTTACTGCCCAGGTAAATATAAATAAAGTGATCATTAAAAATATTGATAAGAATGTAAAATTTAACCTCTTTTTTTACTTTGGGTTCTGGTTTATTTTTTGTTTTTTGTTTTTTTTTCTCCAACTGGGATCTCTATCAGACCCTGTTTCCTGTACCAAACTCATGGGGAAAGAAGAAAAACAAAATTAGTCCTAGGATATAAATTCTGTTTTGTGTGACACAGTAAGAAGTATAAAAATTCTACTATTCCAGATTTACTCCCTTTATTATTTATTATTAAATGCCAACAATTTCATTGAGTTATGTTTAAATACCATGTAAAATAATTCCTAATGACTACTTCCTGTTAATTATGCTGTGTGTATTCTTTATAGACGTCACGTTATTCTAGATAAAACTTTAAAGAATTTCCTTATTTGGCTTTAATTATGAAATAAAATATAGCCATTTTTGGTCTCATATGAGGATAATTTAGGTGATTTTTTTTGTTAACCCTTGTTGTAGGCTAACAGGAAGTCCTACTGCTATGTTATTTTCAAATCTGCTGACTTTGTTTCAGTAAGTGATCAAGGAGACACTGATAACATGTGCTGTCAGCAAGTTATTCAAGCAAAACCACATGTACAATATCTTGCTTCCTCTATTTTTTCTGGGGGAAAAAAAATTTCTATCCAAAATGCTTTAACTCAGCTCTTTGGGTATGCCTTAAATCTTGCCTTGTTTCCCTTAGTAACTGCGGTTTTTATAACTCAATTTATCTTTATGGTCTTTCTGAAAACTAAGTGTAGGCTACATGCTGTAATCACTCCACAGTGATTACAACAGGGAGGAAGGGAAACTTCCATTCCGGACAGAGGTCCGGGCTCACCTGCACTGCTCGCTGGAGCTCTGCCTCAGAAGAGGGGAGCGCACATTGTGAGCCCTCCCATCCTGCAAATTCAGCTTCCTCTTCGTGCTTGAAGGTGGGTGGCTGAACGTGTGTGCCCGTCTTCGAAACTGCGGGGAGTCCGAGTCCTCTTCAGGGAACGTCTGCCAAGCTGAGGACAGTGGGGAGGCCGGCGGTGTCCCTGGTGGAGAGTCCCCTGGTGAGTAGTCCTGAAAAGCAAGCAGATGCGAGGGCTTTCTTTCCTACATGGGTCATGGAAGACCCGCTCAGACCCCAGCTCAGAAGTGACAGGGTGCCTCTTCTTCCTTCTGACTCATGACAAAACCGGTATTTTTCTTTTTCCCCCTCAATGGATGCTGAAGGCTAATCAGTATCGCCACAGCTCATTTCTTCTGATAAGCAGCTGTGAGACAGCATCCGTCAAGATAGGCCAGAAAGCGAAAGGGATGATAAGGAAAGGTATTCTTTCCCCAACACTTTGTGGTAAAATGCTGTTGCTACTGTGCTTTTCTCATTGTTGCCAGAAAGATGAAAAGAGATCATGAGCAAAAGAGGGCGGAGTCTGTGTTTACGTCTCTACCGATTTCTGTGACATATCGGTTGCATGCTTCCTGTTCACTGTCAAAACAACATCACAACATTTAAGTGTCCAAGTCTGATGGCAAAGCTTCAGGAAAGTAAAATAAAGCCCGTTAAGTATCTTCCTTCACTATGGATGTTTCCATCCAACTGCATGTTCCCTGATGTAATATTTTTTAATAGACGTGAAAAACAGGAAATGAATGAAAAGTGACTTATGCTGGAATGCATCTCATATTGCATGCATAGACATCATAAATCTTTCAACTTACACAGGTATGCTGTTTATACTTTCCAGAACAATCACCACTGTAGAAATGTTTAGCTTAATAAACATAGGTTAGGGCTAAAACGACTCACAGCTGAGCTAAGTCCTCAATTTTATCAACAGATAGTTTAATAAAAATATTTTAATATTTTTTTTCATTAAAAAATTGGTAGCATATGCCTCAGGTTACATGTTGCATGATACAGGAAACAGGAAACCAAACCTACTGAGAACTGTCTGAGATAAAGAATGTAATGTTGCAGTTAAAATGGTTAAAAATTGGGGGGTGGGAATAACATGGGGAGAAAACAAAAGATAAAAAGATCACTGGACAAGTATGGTAATTACATGGCTCATTTTCTATGGCTTTAGAGCAAGTTGCGCAAATACTGTCCTCCAAAGCATACGAACTCCAAATAGTGAGCAGCCTGACAGAGCAGAGCTAGTCTGCAAGGGATGTGTTCCTTCTCCATGAAAAAGCTTCAGCTGAAGAAAAGCAACATACTCATATCCAGAATCTCCTTATTTAGAATAATAATGCCTCATATATTTATTTTTTTTAAATAATAAACAAACCCTGACTGGAGTTGCTCAGTGATTAGAGCTTCAATTCTCAGACTGAAGGGTCTTGGGTTCGATTCCTGGTCAAGGGCACATACCTGGGTTGCAGGTTCAATCCTAGGCCCCAGTTGGGGAGCACGTAGGGGCAACCAATGGATGCATCTCTCTCAGGTCAATGTTTCTCTCTCTCTCTCCCCCTCCCTACCTCTCTTCTACTATCTCAAAAAAATAAAAAAATAAAAAATATATATATATATATATCTTTGGATAAGGATTAACAACAACAAAAGTCATAAATGATTCAGAACAAAATAACTAAGCACGCAAATTACCATTATCAATGTTGGTTTGTGCCAAATCCCAATTAGAAGGAAAAGGGGGGGGGGGCCTCTGCTTATATACCTTCTCTGAAGCAAGACTATTGGTCCGTTCAAAGCTGTCCATACTTCCAAGTCGACCTCTCATTCTGTTAGCTCCCTAAGTGAAAAAGAAGAACATTACATCATTCATATGGCTTGAATTTGTACTTTAAAACTACTATAAAAAGCCGTTGGCTCTTTATGTTAGCATTAAATTGATCCCTTTTGCAGTTCACTCAATTTTCTTGGCAGTATTAACAGCCATTCCAGCACAGTAAACACAGCCATTCGCAATCTATATCCATTATTCCTAACTCAGCCATTACATTACTAGATACTCAGATCTAGCATTTTGGAGATATTTTGGTCACAAGGTTAAACATCATTCTTCCACATGATCAGGAGATACCCAGAACATCAGTGAGAGCCCCATTAACTTTGTGTCTCCTGTAGATAAACACAAGTGTAGATGGTACAGCGCAGCTAACCACAACACAGTTTAACACATACAACCTCCCTACAACCAAGATTGCAAGCACCGTAATTCACATCGCAGGGTTATAATAAACACAGGTTAAGAAGAGAAATCTGCATCCTAAAATGTACGGATTTAAGCTTCCTTCATTATTCCATAATGCAAAACAAACTCAATAAAGCATTTCTCTTGAAAAAGACTAAATAATAGTCCACTTCAATACTGGTGATGATTGGGTCTTAGTTTTTTTTCACGTAGTCCTTTGGTATGGTACTCATGGACGAGCTAAGAAAGAGACACCTAAGAGGTGGGTTCATATACAGGATAGGGCAAAAGTGGGTTTACAATTGTGAAGACTCAAAACAGTTTATTCTTGTATTATTATTTATTAATTATTGTATTACTTTCCATAAGAACAACTGTAAACCTACTTTTGCCCCACCCTGTATTTCTTTTACTTTATTTATTGGTATTTTTTATTTAAATTTATTTTTGTTACAGATGTTTCTCCCTTTTCCCCCATTGACACCCTCCTCCCAATCCCACCCCTTCCTTCCCCCAGCCACAAACAACATTGTTGTCTATGTCCACTGGTTATGCTTACATGCATAAGTTCTTTGGTTTATCTCTTCCCTCCTCCCCGTCCCTCCTCCGAGATTTGTCAGTCTGAACCATACTCCTTTCTGTGTCTCTGGGTCTATTTTGTTCATCAGCCTATTTTGTTCATTATGTTCACAAATAAGTGAGACCATTTGATACTTGTCTTTCTCTGACAGGCTTATTTCAATTAGCATAATACTCTCCAGGTCCCTCCACGTCATCTCAAAGGATAGAGATCTTTCTTTCTTACAGCTGCATAGTGTTTCATTGTGTATATGTACCACGGCTTCTTTATCCACCCATTTATTGATAGACACTTGGACTGTTTCCAGATCTTAGCAATTGTAAATAGTGCTGCTATGAACACAGGGGTATATACATTCTTTCTGATTGGTGTTTCAGGCTTCTTAGGATACATTCCTAGAAGTGGGATCACTGGGTCAAATGGCAGTTCCATTTTTAATTTTTTGAGGTGACACCATATTGTTTTCCATAGTGGCTGCACCAGTCTGCATTCCCACCAGCAGTGTACTAGAGTCCCCTTTTCTCCACAACCTCGCCAACACTTGTTGTTTGATGATTTGTTGATGGCGGCCATTCTGACAGGTGTGAGGTGATACTTCATAGTTGTTTTAATTTGCATCTCTCTAATGATTAGCGACACTGAACATTTTTTCATATGCATGTTAGTCATTTGTATGTCCTGTTTGGAGAGGTGTCTATTTAGGCCCTCTGCCTGTTTTTTAATTAAATTATTTGTCTTCCTTTTGTTGAGTTGTAAGAGTACTTTATATATTTTGAAAATGAACTCCTTATCTGATATATCATTGGCAATTATGCTTTCCCATATAGTGTGTTCCCTTTCCATTTTGATTCTTGTTTCTTTTGTTGTACAGAAGCTTTTAGTTTGATGTAGTCCCACTTATTTATGTTTTCCTTTGTTTCTCTTGCCCTAAGCATTGTATCAATGAAAATTCTGTTGCATGTGATGTCTGAGATTTTGCTGCCTACATTTTCTTCTAGGATTTTTATAGATTCATGAGTCACATTTGAAAAATAAGTCTTTTATCCATTTTGAGTTTATTCTTGTGTATGGTGTAAGTTGGTGGTCTAGGTTCATTTTTCTGTATGTAGCTGTCCAATGTTTCCAGCACCATTTATTAAAGAGGCTGTCTTTACTCCATTGTGTGCTCGACACCTTTGCCAAATATTAATTGAGCATAATGTCTTGGGTCAATTTCTGGGTTACCTGTTCTGTTCCATTGACCTATCTGCCTGTTCTTGTGCCAGTACCAGGCTGTTTTGATGACAATAGCTTTGTAGTATAACCTGGTATCTGTTATTGTGATCCCTCCAACTTTGTTCTTCTTTTTCAAGATTGCTGTGGCTATTTGGGGTCTTTTTTGGTTCCATATAAACTTTTGAAGTATTTGTTCTAGTTCTGTAAAGTATGTTGTTGGTATTTTGATGGGGATTTCATTGAATCTATAGATTGCTTTGGGTAGTATGGACATTTTAATGATGTTAATTCTTCCAATCCATGAACAAGGTATGTGCTTTCACCTTTTTATATCTTCCTCTATTTCTTTTTTCAATGACCTGTAGTTTTCTGGGAATAGATCCTTTATTTCTTTGGTTAAGTTTATTCCTAGGTATCTTAATTTTTTGTAGCGATGGTAAGTAGGATTTTTTTTAGTATCTCTTTCTGTGAGTTCATCATTGGTGTATAAGAATGCCATCAATTTCTTGATGTTAATTTTGTATCCTGCTACTTTGCCAAATTCATTTATTAAGTCTAGTAAATTTTTGATGGAGACTTTGGGGTTTTCTATGTCATGTCATCTGTGAATAATGACAGTTTCACTTCCTCCTTTCCAATTTGGATCCCTTTTATTTTTTCTTCTTGTCTGATTGCTGTGGCTAAGACTTCCAGTACTATGTTTTATGTTCTTCACTTTATATAGGAAGAAACTGAAGCCACCGTTGGAAGGAAAGAGGATGGAAAGGCAGGCTGGGAACTACATCATACAGAAGGTCTTAAGAGATAAAACACAGACTGAGGAGTTCTAAATAACTCAAAAGCCATAAAAAAGCTCTAAAAAGAATAACTAGAAATTAAAGCCAAATCAGTGTGACAGTGACTCTGGGGGGAAAAAAAATGCACAATTATTATAGCTATTTGCAGTTTGTTTTTTAATTCTCACCCGAGGACATTTCTCCATTTTTTGTACAGAGAGAGTGGGAGGGAGAGAGAGGAAGAGAGAGAGAGAGAGAGAGAGAGAGAGAGAGAGAGAAACATCGACGTGAAAGGGACACATTGAGTGGCCGCCACCCGCACGACCAACCAGGGCCGGGGACAAACTGCAACCAAAATACGTGCCCCTAGGGGGAACCGAACCCGGGTCTCTCCGGACCGCAGGCCGATGCTCTAACCGCTGAGCCAAACCGGCCAGGGCACTATTTGCAGTTTTAATGTTTGTGGCTATGTATACTTGGGTCTAATGTTTTGAAAGAGGGTTAAATTTCATTTTAATTTTTAATCAAATTAATATCTGCAGAAAATGTCAAAAGTGAAATGTGCTACCAAGCTCAAAATGAAAAATGACAGCTACCACCTCACCCCTCTCTCGCACACTGAATCCCATTCGCCAAAAATAAACACTTGAAAGTTTTGCTTTGATGCTTCTGGTATTCCGCTCATATTCCTATCCCAACCTTTCCACGTTGGGCACTATGTATTAACTTCCAGTTTGAAAGATGAGATTTTAGCATTCTTACTTCATTACCCACCCTATATACATACTCTCCCTTTCCCTGTGCTTTCAATCGTTATATCACAGCTTTCAGTTAAAACAATAATCTGTGATTAGATTATTATGACTGTGAATATTGCTTGAACCTGATTATTACAACTCATACCTTGTACAATTTGTTTTTTAAAGAGTTAACATCCACTTCAGCGATCACTAATGTATTATAAGAACCACCAACAGATCTCATTGTAGTCAAACAACCCATAATCCATCAATTACTTTTGTTTCTTTTTAATGTTTTTTTATTTAATGTTAATTTTTTTTAGAGAGAGAGAGGAAGGGAGGGAGAGACAGAAACATCAATGTGAGAGAGAAACATCATCAGCTGCCTCCTGCACGCCCCTGGGCATGTGCCCTGACAGGAAATCTAACCGGAACCTCTTCGTCCATGGGACCATGCTCAATCCACTGAGCCACACAGGCTGGGGATTTTTTTTTTCTTTTTCATTGAGTTCCCCATCATGAAGACCTCTGTCTTCCTATTCCAGTCTGGACAGCTGCAATTTAGGCTTGCTGAACAGATTTTCCTTGTATTTTTCTTCACTATTAACCTAAAAATATCCTTTAATGCTACCCTATGTTGGAATTTCTGTCTTCTTGATCCCATGTCTTCTTCTTTCTTAGTTTACTTCCATTTTGGTGGAGCACATACTCCGACTGTTTTCTGAGAAAGGGAGACAGGGAGGTAACTTTTTTTTTTTTTAATTTTCATGTCTGTAAATGTCATCATTCTACACTGATATTACATTAACAGTTTGGCTGAATGTATCATTTCATTTAGAAACTTTCCTTCAGAATGTTAGCATTGCTCAAGTTCCGTCGGGCACAGAAGTCTCATGCACTGTGATGGAGCCCTCGTAAGACTTGCTAGTTCTCTCTGGGACAGATCCAAAGTTGACCCTTGGACGTTCTCAAATTTTGCAGCAGTGTGCCTTGGCGTGGCTTTATTTGGTCGTTCTATTGTACATATTCTGAGCCCATTAAATCCCAAAACATGACCATTAGCTCTGAGAAATTTCTAAAGTGATTTCTTTGAAAACTGTGCACACACTTTCTCTTTCTGGAACTCCTGCCATTTGGCTTTTGGATCTTCAGACTAATCCTATAACTTTTTACCCTCTTCCCCTATTTTCCATTTCTTCATCATTTTGCTTTACTTTCTTGAAGATTTTTTTTAAATCTCTAGCTTCCTAGCCTTTTATTGAGTTTTTCTTTTTATGTCTACTATCAGAAACTTTTAAGAGTTCTTTCTTGTTCTTGGTCAACTGTTTATATTTATGGTATCCTATCTAGTTTCATAGAAACAATAGTTATTCTTATCTATGTACATTAATTACAGCTTTATATTGCTGGTGGCTCTCTAAATAACAATTATATATATAAACAATAATATTAAGAGCTGCATCTATTATTACTGATTGTTTATCATGTGCCACGTAGTATGTTGAGCATTTTACGCTGCATTATATCATGTACTCCTCACCAAAATTCTATGCGGTGGGTGTCATTTTTAGCTCAACATTACAGATAGGGAGACAAGTTCTGATATGCTTATGTTGTCACAGTGTGTACACCACTAGTCAAAGGACAGCAATGACTTGAACCCGGGCAGTACAATTTAAAAGTGAAGCTCCTGAGCTCTTCCTCCACACTCCTTCCTCAAGGTAGAGTTTTGCAAAACGTAGAATTACAAATAAAACTATGGCCTTTACTGGTTACGTGTAATTTTACAAATGCCTGGAATCTGATCAAGGTTATTTCAGTTCTTCAGTTCTATACCATAACATGACATACTTCCAATAATAAACTATATCTGTGGCTGATAAATTATTGTGTCATGTGTGTGGTCATGAGGAAAATATTGTAAAGACCTGGTCGCTTTCTGCTATTTTTTTTTTTTTTTGCATTCCTCACTCGAGGACATTTTCCCATTTATCATTAGATAGAGTGGGAGGGAGGGGGAGAGAGAGAGACAGAGAGAAACATTGATGTGCTAGAGCCACACTGACTGGCAGCCTCCCGCATGACCCGACCAGGGCTGGGGACGAACTGCAACTGAGGTATGCGCCCTTGACCAGAATCAAACCCGCGACTCTTTGGTCCTCGGGCTGACAGTCTAACCGCTGAGCCAAACCAGCCAAGACTGCCTGGCTATTTTAAACAGGTTATTTGGTCACAATAGTAAAAGTAGTCAGATGGGTATCAGACCATTTGCATTATTACAACAGCAATTTAAAACCACATTTCACTCACAGTGGTATTTTACCCATGTGTTGTGTGTGTGTTGTGTGTGTGTGTGTGCACACAAAGAAAAACAAACTTTAATTAATTATTCACAGTTTCAACAAGTGAGGACAATGGATATTACACCCAAGAAAGCATGAAATGGAGACTATTTTCCCTATTTTCCAATGACTCACAATTTAATTTATAGTCCTTTTTTGAAATGTGTATATTTGTAAATATATTCATAAATATCTCTCTTTTGGTAAACTTCAACTTGAGAAAAAACAACAAACAACCAGAATGCAAGGCTGTCTTTTGATCTTTGAACAGATAGCTTTTCCAGTTTTACTACATTACGACTTGGTGACACATGTGCCCAGCCTCTTCCCTTGGACCCACTTTTAATTGTCAGTGAGCTAAGCTTCTGAGCTATTTAAAAATGTATCCTATTTCATAAACAACTACAGTTAGTTAAATAAAACATGTTGACAGTTACAAATGACAGCAACTAGGACCCAAACTTTAGGACTGAAGTGTCCATTTTAGAGGAGGGGAAATAATCTCCTAAGTTTTAGAAGTACACAAAACCCCTTCTCTGTGTGACCTTTGATACAACATGGGTAGCTGCCAACCTCCCCCATTAGTCCATGCTGCTCACATGGTGCAAGCAAGGCCTCGTTGGGTCACGTAATTTATGACACTTGGCAGCATTTGTGACACAAAAGCTGGAGTATTTGCCTTGACCAAAATAGACCGGGCTGTGCCCTTGCTTCAAGTGTCACTACCGTCATTCAAGGCTGTGTAAATGGTGCCTCCCAGCCACAGTGCAGGGCTGCGGAATGCCAAAGCACTTGGGGGAGAGAGAAGCTCAAAATGTCCTCTGTCACTTGGAAAATGACGAGGTTTCAGAGCTCCCACTGTTCTACCGCCTCACACCTACCGTGTGAAGCTTCCCACACTCTGACCTCCATCCTCCCGGTAGTGTGAGGTGAGCGCTCGTGGTACGCCTGCTTCACAGATAGGGAAACGATGGCAACTAACTTGTCCAAAGTCATAAATATAAAATCTGCGAGGGCCAAGTCTTGAATTTCGTGGCCCCTGACCATCTATTCAAATGGACTTTCTGCTAAAATTCTCACTGGAACACCATAGGAGAGAGGGGAAGGGGAAAAGACAGAGGGAGGGAGGGAAGAGGGGAGGGGCGGGGGGGAAGGAAGGAAGGAAGGAAGGAAGGAAGGAAGGAAGGAAGGAAGGAAGGAAGGAAGGAAGGAAGGAAGGAAGGAGAGGGAGGGGGAGGGGCAGGGAAAGGGAGGGAAAGAACACAACTAATTTATGAATTTTGAAGAAAATAAGTTGGTAAAATTTTAGGAACACACTTCTAAGAGATCTCCTAGGTACTCTTTTTCTAGATTCTGTTTCTGCTGATAAAATAACTGCACTGCCAGTTGACCATGCTTACTGCAGGGCTTTGGTTAGAATTAGAAGAATCTCAATCATTAAGAAAACCACCTAGGAAAGTATTTTGAGTTGCTGCAAAATAAAAAACAATAATCATAAGAGCATCACATGTCAGAAGTTACTATGTCCTAATGCTCTATTGTACTTCCTTGACCTTGGCACCTTTGAAGATCACAGGCTAGTTGTTTTGTGCGCTGCAGAGAGTAACTTGGGACAGGTGATACTGCCTCATGATCAGGTCCAGGTACTGCCCCTTTGGCAGGAAAACCACAGCGGTGGCGCTGTATTCTTTGTGTCAGGTGTCCCATTGTTGAGGATGTTCAGTTTGATTACTTAATTAAGGTGCTGTGTGCCCGCCTTTTCCATTGTAAAGTCACTGTTTTCCTCTTTGTAATCAATAAGTGTCATCACGTATCCTGATCTTGATCAAGCTCTCATTGCATTCTTTTATTTTTCATGTCAGAATAGACTGATGGTGTCCTATTTTTTGCAGCAGACTAATCATTAATTTTGATGCTTATATTTTCTCAGATGTCACCAGCGGGGGCCCTTCGTGGTTTTCATGTCTTTGTGACATATCAGCATTTTTCTTTGAGCACTTCCTTATAATCTAGACACCAAGACACTCAGGGTTTATCTTGTACTTTCCCTGCAGTCCTGGAATTAGCCATTACCCCCATGGTCCCTCCTGTAGAATGATACATAGAATTCCAAATCTGGGGGCTAGGTGTCACCCAGCAGGCTTAATTCATTGTCTGATATTTGTAGAAAAGCTGGTCCCAGCTCTAGACAGAGCCAGAGACCATATGCACACATTCACACACACACGTGTTAATACATATATTATATATGTATAATATATTCCTCAAAAATATAGATGGATAACCAAGATTTTACACTGTTACTTCTGAACTGGATTCATTAATGCAGGATTCATTATCATTCCCTCCCTTTGCATATTTGTAGCTCCTTTCTCCCAACACCACCCTATCCTTAATACATTTACATGTTTGCTCAGTCTCCACAACTGTCACCTCACAGACACTCTCCCCATCCTACTGAAGTCCCAGCACACATGCTGGGGCTGCCACCCCGACGTGGATGCCATCCTCACCCTGCAGACTCTAACTCCTTACATCGGGCACCCTGAGTGCCTTCCCTCCTCCACTCTGGCTCTGACACCCCGCACTGCGCCATCCCTCCTCACCACTCAGGCTGCGACTTCCTGAGCAAGGCTGCCTTCCCAGGAGATGTCCTCACCACACTTGTTTCCATGTGTGCGTGGAGCCGCCCCACGCACACAGCACGCACTAGACGTGGTCCCCTGCTCTGAGCCGCGGTGGTTCCCATCCTCCACTCCTAGGACACCAACCTTGCTTCATCTCATCTAATAGCATTAGGGCTGAATTGTTCAGGAAGAAGAAAATGAAGGGGAAGAGGAATCTCTTTGCTCATTTTTAAATAGACTATTTTCTCCCTCCAAATTTACTAGAAGGAATACATCGATTTTTGTTACCATATACTCACTATTTTCAGAATTTCCTATCAGTTCTTAAGATGAGCAAAAGAATGATTTCTTGCCCTGGCCAGTTTGGCTCAGCGGTTAGAGCGTCGGCCTGCGGTCTGGAAAGACCCGGGTTCGGTTCCCGCTAAGGGCACGTACTTCGGTTGCAGTTTGTCCCCAGCCCTGGTTGGTCGTGCGGGTGGCGGCCGCTCGATGTGTCCCTTCACGTCGATGTTTCTATCTGTCTCTCCCTTCCTCTCTCACCCTCCCACTCTATCTGTACAAAAAATGGAAAAATATCCTCGGGTGAGGATAAAAAAAAAAAAGAATGATTTCTTTATAACTTTATGTGGCAAATGATAAAAAGTTTCTATAGTATTGGGCATCAATATTCTATTTTTCCTTTTTTACGCATATATCGCTACTAAAAAATCTCTATTACTGAAATTCAGATATTATAAGCACCAGAATAAATCTATATCTGAGAATGAAACTTAGTTCGAGAGATTATTATAAATAGGTGTTAACTAAATTAAAGTTATCTTAGTAGTTTTTTTGTTTTGTTTTGTTTTAAAGAAGTCTTCTGTTAGCCAGTGGAGAATGAAGCAAAGCAGTTAAAAAACACAGACAGTAATAACTAAAAGAGTCTCAGTGAAATCTTACCCTTGAGAAGATATTTTCCAGGGAGCTGGTTAAGGACCTCTTAGCTTTGTTTTTCAGAACGTCAAGTTTGAACCTTCCACTGCTTGCTGTATTTTCTGGGATTATACTGTTTGAAATAGTCTGTAGAAAGAAAACAGACAAATTTTAGTTTGGGGATACTCAAGGTTAAATGAGGCTGTGAAGACAGGCTTATCACTAAGCTATTAAAAAGCATAAGAATTCTTCTGCAGCTCTATTAAGGAGTAATAATTTAGGTTCCACACTGTGAACACACAGATTATGAGGAAAAGGATTTACGTTTTAATGTTGTTTGAAAAAAAAAAAAAGACAGAAATAAGATCTTTCCTTTATGCCTTTTCTGCTACTTTGTTCCCACTGCATTTGTGGGAAACTACACTGGAGATGTTTTTACTGCTGTTACTTTGATTGACAGCTATAGCCATCCCTTTCAAGTTGCATATTTGTATCCAAATTACCAAGAAAAACACAGGAAATATGTTTAAAAAGAAAAAAATCTTCAGGTAAGGCTGGATTCCCCTATTGCCTCTGTCATAATTCCATTTTCATTTGTGAGTGGGCCATTTATCTTTGGGATCAACAAGTATTCACTGATAGTACTGAACTGTATGAGAATCCACAATGTCTATACTCTCTTAAGTTCTCTCTTAGGTTCATCCTACTGGTCTAAGAAGCTACTATGTATTTCACATGGTTCTTATTGCCAGAACACTTCCAAGAGAGAGCCCTGCTTGGGGAGGGAATATACTTGCATTAAGCGGTGACACAAGGAAACATGTAAGTATCACATCTGGAAGCATGAAGGTAGGCTGTGGGTCTCAGTAGTCGGGAAGAAAAGAACAGGCAAGATTCAGAGCAATAGGGGAAAGGGCATGAAGACATCCCCAGAACGGGGTGGAGTCGGCAAAATCATAAAGACCAAAGCTCATAGGACAGGGAGTCAGCACAGGTGTTCAGCTAAAACAGAAGGAAGTAATGGGAAGTAACTTGGAAAAGTGAGGCTGGAGATAAAACCTTGAATAGAAAGAGTCACCGATCAGGATTTATAAGCACAAGGGCATCACTGTGCAAGTAAAGTCTGGGGGAGAGTTATCTGCAAGGAGTGTTCAAAAATCATCTTAAGCCCTGGCCAGTTTTGCTCAGTTGTTAGAGCATCACATGAGAACCAAAGAGTCTTGGGTTCAATTCTGATCAAGGACACGTACCCCAGCCCTGATCAGGGTCGTGCAGGAGACAACCAGTTAATGTGTCTCTTACGTGGATGTTTCTCTCCCTCTCTCTCCCCCTCTCTCTCTTTTTCTCTGTCCCTCCCTCCCAGTCTATCTGAAGATAAATGAAAACATATACTCTGGTAAGGATTAAAAAGAGAAAAAAAAATCACCTTAAGGACAAGGAAGTCAGAGACTGAAAAACAGACTTAGAGGCATCAGCACAGTCTATGCAGGAGACAATAAAGATCTATACTAGAATTCACTCCAAGGGGAAATCTAAGAAATTACTGGTAAAAAAGATATGACCCTCATTAAGGAAGGGAAGGTGAGGAAAGGGGGGGGAAGGGAGAGGAAGGGAACAATAGATATGGAAGTGGGCTAGACTGGGCTGCAAGTGTATATAAAGCACTGGATGACTCAATATTCTAAGGCATTCAGGCTAATGATACAACTTAAAGAAGAAGATTGTATTGACACTAACACAATGCTGAACACAGAAGCTGTTCAGTAAACACCCAGCAGGAAGAAAGAAAAGTAGGGAGGGAGGGAGAGACAGAGAAGGAAGAAGGATTAGCAGCAAACTACAATTTGTTCAAAATCTCCTCTGTGATCTTTAGCGTCCTTCATCACAAAGAAAATGCACACCACTGCTCACATACTGCTTTTGTCCTTCTGGTCAACATCACCATCACCATCAATGACTGACATAAACAAACCCACTAAGAGATTTGAGTCAGAATGTTTCTTGACTTTCCTATTATATATCACTGACAATTGTTGATCTTATTTCAACTCTTCTCCTACCTTGGTCACCTACCATAATAAATCTTTTTAAGTCTCTTTATACTCCATTATTCCTTTTCAGTCTTGTTCACCAGCTCAATTTTAATGCACTGTCTGAAATGTGAGTGTTCCTCAATACATCCCCCCTTTGACTTCAAACCTATGCCAAAGTTCATGGTCTCCAATATTTACACTATCAACCCAAATCCCTCCATTTTTCTAATTTAACCCATTTTTCTAATAAAATTTCAAACACATTTCTTAAATTAAACCCTTACTTCTTATTTCCATCGCCTACCTCACTCTGGTCTTCTTTCTGTATTTTTCAGCTGTTTTATCCAGTTTCCCCCAATCTGCAACCTTGGGGTCTGTCCCTTCCTTTACATACCTGTTCAGCCAGACACTAAGTCCTAACCGTCATACCTCCAATAGCTCGTGACTCTGTCCCTTCCCCACATCTCCAGTGCTCCAGCTTGGCCTCTCTCCAAGACAAATGTTTAAGGCAGAATCATTCAATCTATTTATGCACACATGCTATCTCTGTCTGGTACGTACTTACATCATTGTACTAATCGCACCATATTTCCATTTTTTTTTTTTTTATCCTCACCCGAGGACATTTTTCCATTTTTTGTTCAGATAGAGCGGGAGGGAGAGAGAGGAAGAGAGAGAGAGCGAAACATCGATGTGAAGGGACACATCGAGTGGCTGCCACCCGCACAACCAACCAGGGCCGGGGACAAACTGCAACCGAGGTACATGCCCTTAGCGGGAACCGAACCCGGGTCTCTCTGGACCACAGGCCAACGCTCCAACCGCTGAGCCAAACCGGCCAGGGCCATATTTCCATATTTTAATTTATTTGATGACAGGTTGGTTTCTCCTCCTAAATAGTTAGATGGCAGAAAAGAGTTGTCATCGCTCATCACCACTGCCTAGTAATAGTATGCACCTGGACACGTCTGTGCATAATGAAATGAACCACTTCTCACACATTCTATTATAAAATTCTCTCAATTTGAGAATGTGACCTTAGTCCTAATGCTGTCAACACCCTCACTCACCAACCTGCCCCCAAATTGACCACCACTGTGACAGTAAAATTTCTCTTGAAGGTACAAATCTGATCTTCTCATACTCTTGAAATTCTTCAATGGCAAAGTGAGGTCTAGCACTTCAGGCTCTTCATCATCTCATCACTGCCCATCCTCCCAGCCTTACTTCCTCATCAGTCCCCAATTCCCCCTAAAAAAACAGCATGAACTCCCATGGTCTGCATGGAGTACATTCACTGCTGGACACAAAGTTACTTACACAACTTAGTGCTAATGTCCCTTTCTCAAAACATACTTCCTCAACTTCTGTGGTTAGCAAACTGTATCTCCCTTAAAACTCCAGTCTCCCCCCACCGCCCACCAAATCTTCCTCATGAATTTTTTCATGCTTCCCTCTACCCTTACTCTCTACTACAGCTCCAAAGCAAATGCTTAGTTACTTCTGTGTTCACTGAACACTCTTTTAAAAAGCTACTTTGGCCCTGGCCGGTTTGGCTCAGCAGTTAGAGCGTTGGCCTGGGGTCCAGAGAGACCCGGGTTCAGTTCCCAGTAAGGGCATGTACCTCGGTTGCAGTTTGTCCTCGGCCCTGGTTGGGTCATGTGGGTGGCAACCACTCGATGTGTTCCTTTCACGTCGATGCTTCTCTCTCTCTCTCTACCTCTCACTCTATCTGAACAAAAAATGGAGAAATGTCCTCAGGTGAGGATAAAAGAAATAAAATAAAAAGCTACTTTGGTGCCTCTATTATATGTGTCCATTTAACTGTCTGCAATCCCCTTTGGAATATTTGAGCCTTTCTCTGGAGGGAACATCATTCATTCATCACATTCTTGTTTGCCATTATCACAACAGGTTGGTTCATAGACGTTTCTCTGGAAGAGCTTGCTCAATGAATAAACTAAGAAATCACTGATAAAGTGATATGTGATTTGTTCTGAATAAAATGAAATAAAGACAACCTGGATTAGGGTTATTAAGAGTTAACTATGATGTCATCATCTCTGCATGCTGTTGCGGGTGGTCTTGCTTTATTTATATGCAGCTGGAGGAACCACATTTGAAACCGTGTGCACAAAAGTATCACCCCTTAGTTTGCAGCTCGAAGAGCTGTCTCCATGATACGACTGCTTCTTTGGGTATTTGTGGTTTACCATTCAAGGCTGAGTAAGCTTTTAATGAAATACAATGATTGAAAGGGTTCAGAGGAGGCCTTCCCAAGAGGCGCTACTCTGGTATGTGGATTATTTTGAGCTGAAGACAATCAAGACCCTGAGGGCTCACAAGAAACTTTTACCTCTCCCTTAAAAAATTTAAATTAGGGGCCTTGCCCATAATAAGAGTTAGCACCAGAAATAGCTTATGACCAATCTATAGGGCAGGGCAAACTCCTACTTACTGAACATCTGCTCTTTCTAGCATCTTCTTATCATCCTGCAATGACTGTCCTCCCCTCAGAAGCCCAAGGCCTATTACCTCCTGCTCACCTCAGAATGTCACACGAACCTCATTTCCCTTTCTGTCTGCACCTCAAACCCTCTTGTACATGAGGTCTCTAATTCTCAAATAGGCAGGGTTCCTGAACACGTGAATGTAGTTAAACTTGATCATTTTCTCTTATTAATCTGTCTCATGTCTATTTAATGAGTAGGCTAGCCAAGAAAACCTAGAAGGGTAGAGGAAATTCCTTCCTCCCCCACATGTTCATATAAATTTGAAATAAAAGAATACATTAATGTAACTGAAAATTCATGCTCACTTTAAATCATGATCATGTTATGTTTTATGCAAAAACAACACAAATATCTTTACATTTAAAAACCATAATTAATTTTCAATGTGACAATGACTGTGAAAATGTCCTATAAAGGTCCTAAAATCCTGACACATAAATCCGCTAGGACGTTAGTGCTAAAGATGAGAATGAAAAAGGAAGGAAACCCCTTTCCCATTTTCTGTGGTAAGTTTACTAAATATAGAAACAGAATAAGGTCAGGGAAGAAGGAGCTCCTCACCGCCGGGCCTTCCCCAATGTGGATGTGTGTTTTCTGCTTGGCTTCACACAGCTGCCTCAGATGCAAAATCACAAGTTCATTTTCTTCCTGGTCACTGACCGGCTTCATTTTCTGTTGAACAGACAAACCAAGAGCACACTATGGCAACACAGCTTCTATTTTATTTTACTCCCACTCGATTTTATCTGTCTGGCAGACAGACATAAATAAAGCTCAGCTTCTCACTGCTCGTAGAAGCAAAAGCAACAGTGGCATTCTGGTTCCTCCCCAGCAGTGCAATAGATCTTTAGCTTCAGATACGGAAATGAGAAAAGGAACTCAGGATCCAATTCCCATTCCTCATGTCTTATTGGTGAGAACTGTAAGTGATGTTACCTGGACGCGTTCAAAGATGTCAGCTTGTTCATTATCTGTCAAGGATGAGAGGTGCCTCTGAATTACCAGTTTGGCTCTTGGTGGGTACAGACCTACGGAAAATGATGGGGGTCAATACTAAACAGAGCATAGCTGTGGAAATCAGAACATATGTCATGTGTCAAAGCTTTTCGCCAACAGGTTTTGAAGCAAAATCTTCTCAAGGAGATGTGTCCCTGTCTACAACAAGCCTGGGAACACTACAACAAAATCATTAAGACGTGAGGGGAAAACCTCATCGCCAGCATCACTGGCTCTGTCAGTGATCCTAAAGTCAGATTTAGCAACAAAGGATTTCTAAATGATACATCAACAGCTTAACTAGATGCCATTGACTATGGTAACCATCTAACTAGCCTCCACAGGGACTTGTGTATTGACATTATCCTAGTTCCTGACATGGAAATAAAAGCTAAACACTAGCCTTGATCAAAATCTCTAACAATCAAACTTGACCTTTACACAAGAAAGAATAATGAACGGCGTTAAAAGGCAGAGCTACAGCTTAGACAGGCATCCCTTCCTCCTCACACACATCTTGTCCTGTGGTCATAAAACTTCAAGGACAGCCCTGGCCAGTTTGGCTCAGCAGTTAGAGCATCAGGTCGCGGACCGGAGAGTCCCGGGTTCGGTTCCTGCTAGGGGCACATACCTCAGTTGCAGTTTGTCCCCGGCCCTGGGGCAGTTGTGTGGGTGGCAACCACTCGATGGGTCTCTCTCACATCGATGTTTCTCTCTCTATATCTGAAGATAAATGCAAAAATGTCCTCGGGTGAGGATAAAAAACAAAAAAAAATTCAAGGACAACATTAACATTTAGTGACATTTTTATGCTATCATTTTACCAAAAAATTGATTACTTCTTTATGTCATGTTATTTATATATCTATCACATTGTTATATATAATTTATAGAAAATCCCTAGGCAAAACAAATTTTTCCCATGAAAACATTTTTGTTTTTATAATTGTTTTAAAAAGAGAATATATAGTGCTCGCTTTGGCAGCACATATACTAAAATTAGAACGATACAGAGAAGATTAGCATGGCCCCTGCCCAAAGATGACACACAAATTTGTGAAGCATTCTATATTTTTATGGAACAGAATAGTGAACCCAGAAATTGACCCAAGACACTATGCTCAATTAATATTTGACAAAGGTGGCAAGAGCATACAGTGCAGTCAAGACAGTCTCTTCAATAAATGATGTTGGGAAAATTGGACAGCTACTGCAAAAACAAATGAAGCTAGAATACCAACTTACACCCTACACGAGAATAAACTCAAAATGGATAAAACACTTAAATGTAACTTGTGAATCCATACAAATTCTAGAAGAAAATGTAGGCAACAAAATCTCAGACATCATACTCAGCAGAATTTTCACTGACACAACACCTAAGGCAAGAGAAAAAAGGAAAAAATGAACACATGGGACTACATCAAACTAAAAAGCATCTGCATAGCAAAAGAAACAACCATCAAAATGGAAAGGGACCCCACTGTATGGGAGACCATAATCACCAATGATGCATCAGATAAGGAGTTAATTTCCAAAATATCTAGAGTGCTCATACAACTTAACAAAAGGAAGACAAAGAACCCAATTAAAAAATGGGCAGAGGACCTAAATAGACACCTCTCCAAAAAGGATATACAAATGGCCAAAAGACATATGAAGAAATGCTCAACATCACTAATCATTAGAGAGATGCAAATTAAAACAACAATGAGGTATCATGTCACACCTGTCAGAATGGCCGCCATCAACAAATCATCAAACAACAAGTGTTGGCGAGGGTGTGGAGAAAAGGGGACTCTAGTACACTGCTGGTGGGAATGCAGACTGGTGCAGCCACTGTGGCAAACAATGTGGTATTACTTCAAAAAGTTAAAAATTGAACTGCCATTTGACCCAGTGATCCTACTTCTAGGAATGTACCCTAAGAAACCTGAAATACCAATCAGAAAGAATAATATATGTACCCCTATGTTCATAGCAGCACTATTTACAATAGCTAAGATCTAGAAACAACCCAAGTGTCCATTAGTAGATGAATGGGTAAAAAAAGCTGTGGTACGTGTACACAATAGAATACTATGCAGCTGTAAGAAAGAAAGATCTCTTATCCTTTGAAATGACATGGAAGGACCTGGAGAGTATTATGCTAAGCGAAACAAGCCAATCAGAGAAAGACAAATATCACATGATCTCACTTATTTGTGGAATATAATGAACTAATCAAAATGCTGAACAAAATTAACCCTGAGACACAGAGGTGGGGTACAGACTGACAAGCCTCAGGGGGCGGTGGGGGGGAGATAAACCACAGAACTTACATGCATGTATGCATGACCAGTAAACATAGACAACAAAGCTGGAGATGGGGCAGGGGGGAGAAGGGGAGGAAGGTATCAATGGAGGAAAAATGTGAAACATCTGTAACAAAAATAAATTAATAAATAATTAAAATAAACACTGTTTAAGTAAAAATAAATAAATAAATAAAAAGAGAATCTGTAATTCATATTCACAATGATTCAAACGACCATCTATTAGCGTAAGGTGCCCTTTATAACACTGCTACCGTTCGATGAGAAAGAGGATAGCTCAATATACATAACATTTAGCGAACCTTATGGGTAATCTGGCACTTTAAAATCATTGGTGTAAAACTACTAGCCTTCACTTTATGGCTGTCAGAAGGTGCACAGTGCTGCCACAGAACCTGTTTTAGGCCACCTGTAGGGTACACACTGAAAATCTGAAAGACAAGCCTCTGGAACCTCAGCGCCACCTTCCTCTGTGCAGCTACGACGTTCTGAGAGCGCAGAGCGAGCACAGACACAGCAGCGCTGAGACTCCTTGTGACACGTGACGGCGCTCACTACCACAGCTTGTTTGCTGGCAAAGCCTCCTGCAGAGGTTCCTCAGGCAGCACGCTGAGAAGCTGATTCACGATCGTCCTTGTTTTAGTTTATGTTGTTCACTACTCCAGTGTCTTATTAACATGCCTGGGAGGATGCACGATGACAGAGGGGAGAAGGAAAGAGGGCAGTTATTTGGCACACCTAACTAAATCCATAGCCCCGGAAGTTTCTTTAGACTTCAGTTCAGTAGAGAAATTGGAAACAGCTGGAGTTCATTATTATACATGCTCCCTCCAACTCCACGGCTGTGAATCTAATTTGACTTCCTTCTTTCCCCATTTTAGCATAGCAGATTAGTGAATTACTGATGCTGAGAGGCGAGTATATTATTTACACCTCATGAATGTTAGTGTGAAAAAGCAAGATTGGCGATAATCGCTCCATCTCCATAATGCTTAACATCACTTTAGTTTCGCATTCTGAGGTTTGGTCCTAGGAACTCGAGTTGCTCTCAGACACCGCCTCCACGATTCACTTTGGTCTGCAGGCATGGCTGGCCCTGCTCCTCCTGGTCTAAACGGTGACACTCTTTAGGCAGGGGCATAGACAATTAGCAAACTCATCAGCTCACATCAGCACACTTACCTATTTTCTTTTTTTTTTTTTTATTTCAGTGAAAATAGAACTCATTAATGCAGCCAAGTGTACTAAAGTACTGAGAGGATAGTATAATCTTCAGTAAGTGATATGCAATAATATCTACATACTACTTGTAAATATCTTCCTCACTCTATTTCTATTCCTATTAGTTTGTGTTGAATCTAAATGTGGTCCTTTTTCCAGCTTTAAACTTTGTACTTAAGCATAAAACAAGTTTAGAATTCATGTTGTTATCTTACTTAGATGAAAATAACTCCTTGAGAAACACACAGAGACCCAGGCTTCAAGGCAGCTTGGCCCCGACGATCCTGGACTTCTGATAGTCCCTCAGAGAGAAGGCATCAGGTTGCTTTGGAAACAGACTGAACAAGTTCAAACCCTGGTTCTGCCCTTTCCGGGCATTGTGGGTATGGTACTTATTACCCATTCTGTGTCTCAGTGCCTCAGTTTCCTCAAGTGGAAAATGAGGATTAACAACAGTACCTACATGCTGGGATTTCTATGTGGATTAAGTGGACTAATATATGCAAAACACAACAGTGCCCAGAAACAATGACTCCTATTGTTACTACTTTTATCTTTACTGTAACAGCACTGCCCTATATCTTGCGCTCTCTTTGCCTAATGTCAAAGGCCTTTGGAAAATCACCTGTGTGAACTTTCCCAGTCAACATGACCTTTCCTTTGCTCCCTGCTGATATATGCATACACTGAGGCTAGGGAAGCTTACATTTCAAGTCCCTTCCAGATTTGGGGAGAGGCTCCGCTAATTCTAGATTCATAATGTGCATGCTTTTTCTTCAGAAAAGTCTTTAAAACTATGAACACTTCAGATGCCACCAAACTGAGGTCTAGCCCTGTATCCATATGAAGACAGTTCTTCCATGTGCTACACTCTCCTATCATGGGAGAGCCAGCTTCCGACAGACCATCTATTGTAGGAAAGTCTGAAACTTCTTTTCTGTAACAGAAAATATTTTTTAAAACAAACTTACAGTGTTCTTTTTAAAAAGGAGAAATACAAAGTCACTCCCTTACTCCTAAGTGTGTAGCTTTGTCTACATAGACGTAATTTATTTTTATAGTGTGAGGTTTGAAAACTAAAAATTCAAAAAGGAAAATATTACTCATTATTATCCTAGTAACATTTGGAGCATATTCACTGCCAATTACACACACACACACACACACATTTGCTTTATATTTTATTACCCAAGTAATATAAGTTCTACATTTTTAAAATATTAGAACATTACAAATAATTTTTGCCTTTTATAGAATCAGTGTGCAAAAGCATGAGAGAAAAGAGATTTGTGTAGATTCAACAGTCTCCCCTAAAATATTAAGTCCTTCCCTGGCCAGTTTGGCTCAGCGGTTAGAGCGCCGGCCTGCGGTCCAGAGAGACCCGGGTTCGGTTCCCGCTAAGGGCACGTACCTCGGTTGCAGTTTGTCCCCAGCCCTGGTTGGTCGTGCGGGTGGCAACCACTCGATGTGTCCCTTTCACATCAATGTTTCTCTCTCTCTCTCTCCCTCTCTCTCCCTCCCACTCTATCTGAATAAAAAATGGAAAAATGTCCTCGGGTGAGGATAAAAAAATAAATAAATAAAATAAAATATTTAGTCCAGGGGAATGATAGTACTTTTACAGTGGAAAATTCCTGAGATCACCCTGACCAGGTGATAAGGTCAACACAACAAGTAATGAGACTTGTCAGCATCATGAGCCCCATGAGATGATGCACTGAGAAGGGCGTGGCATCGTTCTATTGCGCTCTGGCCAAGGAGGAGGGACCTCAGTCCAAAGGTGAGAAGACATCAAGACAGGCCAAACTGAGGGACATTCAGCAAAATAACTGAGCAACACTCACTGGGGATGTCAAGGTCATAAAAGATAAGGAAAAACTGAGGAAGAGTTGCAGACCGCAGGTGACCAGGGTGAAATAACAACTGTATACAATATAGTGCCCTGACTGAAATTCTGGAACAAAAAGAAAGGATGTGAGTGAAAACAACGGTGAAGATCAAATGCAGCGTTCAGTTAGGATAATACTATTGTACCAGTGTTAATACCCTTTTCTCTCTTTGCGCTGGGCTATGGATGATGTTAACAGTGGGAGTGCATGGGGAGGAATATTTGAAAACCCACTGCAACTTCTATGTAAATCTTACAGTAGACCAAATTTTTAAGAAATATAGGATATCATTTTATGTATTTTTCCAGACATAGCATCAAAGTGTAGGTGTTATTCAGTAAATTATTTTTTTACAAAATAATGTAATTTTAAGATGTATCCAAGTTGATAAACAGTTAAAATCCATTCCCATTGATTGCTCAATTATATGAACATACTTCAGTGGTCCAGCAGATGTGGCTCAGTGGTTGAGCATCCACCCATGCACCAAGAGGTTGCCATTCGATTCCCAGTCAGGGCACATGCCCAGGTTGTGAGCTCGATCCCCAACAAGGGAGTAGTGCAGAAGGCAGCCTATCAGTGTTGATGTTTCTCTCTCATGGGTGTGTCTAGCTCTCTCTCTCCCTTCCTCTCTCTCTAAAGTCAATAAAAATATAAATTTAAAAAAACAATTACACTACTGATGCACATTTAGATTGTTTCCAATGTCCATTACTTAGAAGTAATACAACCCTGAAAATGAAAAGGTCACCTTCTGAACCTATGTTAGAGTTTCTCTCATTAGAACAACTGGTTAACAGGGTATATGCTATTTTAGGTTGGGTTTCTATTCATTGTCCCCAAAATGGCTATACTAATTCCCATCGGTGTCACATAAATGTACCAATATCCCTACAATTTCACCAACAGTTAATGTGATGAATAGCTTATTTTTTCCTTTTCATGTCTCTGATTGAGCATCTTCTCATTTTTATTTTTTTATCCTCACCCAAGAACATTTTCTCATTTTTTGTTCAGATAGAGTGGGAGGGAGAAAGAGGAGGAGGAGAGAGAGAGAGAGAGAGAGAGAGAGAGAGAGAGAAACATCGACGTGAAAGGTACACATCGAGTGGCTGCCACCCTCACGACACAACCAGGGCCAGGGACAAACTGCAATGGAGGTACGTGCCCTTAGCGGGAACCGAACCTGGGTCTCTCCGGACCGCAGGTCGACGCTCTAACCACTGAACCAAACCGGCCAGGGCTCATTTTTATTATAGACCTTTTCATTTCCTTTTCAGGAGTGTTTTTAATATGTTTTGTGTAATTTCCTACTGGTGGTTTTCTCTTTTCCTTATAGATAATAAGAGTTCTTACAAATTCTGAACACCAACCTATTTCCTCATTTGTCACTTATCATTTAACTTCAAAGTAAGCAGTTGTTGTTATGTAAAAATTAAATTTTTATAAAGTCAGACCTGTCAATATCTTCTTTTAATAGTTTTTGCATTTTTGTGTCTTAATGAAAGTTTCTTTGTTTAAGGACATAACAATATTCTTATTTTCTTTTAATGATTTTAACCTTTGTTTCTTTCTACACTGAGGCCTCTGATCCATCTGCAATGGAATTCAGTAGGACAAGTAAAAGGAATCTTTCTCTCTTGGAGAGCAAATTGATTCAACACCATTTCTTGAGTAATTCAGCCTTACCTCCACAGATTTATAATGTTCCCTTTCTAAAAGTGTTCCATTTTTAGAAAGGTTAAATGTATGTTTGAAAATAATGTGCATTCTACAAAATTATAATTACACATTTTTATATTGGAATATTACATTGAAATAGTCCTCGCTCACACGCTGCATGGTGTTCCCCATCGACTCTGCCAGGTGCCTGTGGTTCCGCTGCCCACTGAAGAGCAGTCAGGCTGCACTTACAGCGCTGACCGCTGTCTGCTGTGTTCTGGAGTGTGCATTCCCATCTACTGCGACCTATCAGGCTGACCTGAGTTACTGGCTCACACGCCCGTCTTATACTCCAGTCCGCAGGCTTTCTGAAGGCACAGTCCTCCCCTCAATCACTTCTGAATTCCCACTTCCCAGCACACTGCCTGGTGCACAGGTGATGCCTAGCAGGTGCTTACTAAGTTGTGTATCTTCTCTCGGGCAGTCCTTTTCAAACGTTTTTGTTAGTAAGAGATAAGAAAATGCAGAGTCACCTCTCCTTCATGCCCCATCCCTTCCTCAGGACACTAAAAAAACAAACAAAAAAACCCTGCTTTCTGACATCACACCTATTATCTCTGTCATGTTTAAATACCTCTCAAAGCCACACAAGTTTCATTCCAGTCTTAAACTATAGAAAAAAAGGCAAATGTCATCAAGTGAAGGGTTTGGAAAAGGAAAGACTTAACCAGTCGACATTCTGAGACGGTTCTGCTGCTCCTCATTCATTCAACAAATATTTGGTCAGTTCCCACTGTGTACATAGCACAGTCTTAAGAACTGTGGGAAATATAAGTTCCTTCCTTGAATCTGCCTTCAGGAAGGAAAAAAAAAAGTTAAAAATAAAAAAGAGAGAGAAAGAAAGGGGGGAAAGAACGAGCCAAGCTCCTAGGAGAAACTGACAACACAAATTTGACTGGACGTGAGAAATGACTCTTTGGGCCCTTGCTTTACCTCGAAACAAAGAACCTTTCAATGACAGTAGCAACTTTCTCACTTCCCAAATGCCAAAGCAAACTCCTCTTTTGCAAAGTTCAAGTTCCACTGTACCTTCAATCCTTTCGCAGAGCTTATGCAAAGAGTGCATGGGGCAGGCCTCGCACAGCTTGATCTGGGTCTTGGCGCTCTGCAGGGCAGCCGCCGTGCTGAAGGCCTGTTTCAGAGTCAGCATTACCTCATCCACCTGCGGGAAGAAACCAAATTCAGGTCTATAAAGGCTTGCGCTCATGGTAACACATTAAAATCCCAGCAGCAATGTGAGACTTTATTGATGCTGACTAAATAATAAATCATGGAATTTTACATCTATTTTGATATCTTAGAAAATACTGTCTTGAAGTTAGACCTTCGGTAATACATGTAATAGAAAGCGGGATAAAATAAGGCCATTTGCATGCGTGTAGTGTAATATCGATCTGTTACGTGAAATGTTATTGTTGAATCCCACTAAGTGTTCTGCTAGCACAGTTTCATGGTCAATCAAGTCTCTGTCTAAGCAGTTACTCAGACAAAGATCTCTTTGGAAGTTTTACCTGCAATATATAGTGGGCAACAAAATAGGTTTATTATTCACTTGTGTTAATAGGTATCTTATTTACTTTGTCCTTCTGGATCCTTTTTAGTGTAAAAACAAATAAAACTTATTCAGGCACAGTTCTGGGAGGAAATGAGCTGCATTTAAATAATGTTGGAGAAGTCTATGAAAGGTTGCTCATCTTATCTCTGTGGCTTCTAACGTATTATCATTTTGCTTCTGATTTGTGACACTAAGAAGTTCTGACATCCTATTGTGTAATCGCTGGTCTCACCGCTGGGCCAGCAGCTTGAAAACTGCCCGTTACTTTCTTCCTTGCTCTTCCAATGATTCGGTCAGTAAGTTTGAACCTAGCATTCTAGTTTCCTGGTAGCTCCTTCGGGTCAACTATCAGCTCGTCCTCAAGCACTGTTAAATCAACTCCAGGCCATGTCGCCTTCTCTGGGAAATAAACAGCATGAATGTAAGGTGTGGTTTTCCCCCACTGTGGGACTGTGATCAAAGTCTAAGCTCTGCACGGAGAACTGTGCAGAACCAGGCGGCTCGTGGGACTACCGTCAATATTCAAGACCATTCGCCATGCTTGTAAACTGGTGTGGGGTTTTCTTAAGACTCTTTTTCCCCTTTCCCTAGGCCTAGTTGAAGAATAATATAATACTTAAAGGATTTATTCTACTTCTGCATTTGAGTGTATGGAAAACCTAGAATAAAAAGAAACTTTATTCTTCTAATATTACTGAAAGGAGAGGTCAGACACTAAGCAGCCACTCGTTACTCAGTTATGTTTGACTTTACTTTTTTTTAAGGTTTAGGAATTACTTTATATCACTCCATGAATTAAAATGAATTATTCATAAAATCTGTTCTTTTATACTGTAATTAAAAATAAAGACTTCTAGTTCTTGAAAATAAGAGCACGTTTAATGCCTTCACATTTTATTTTCATTTGCCTTGTTATGCATTCAAAAGCAATTTCAATTACTTATGTAAATGTTTATTTTTATTTTCTTGTTTCTCATTTATTTAGGGCTTAGCTTTCATACAGGTTTATTATTTGTTATTTAGTAACACTGCCTTGTAAAAGGCCTCCAATGTAAATACTAAACTTTCATGTTGTCTTACCTTGTTCTAGATGAAACTAAAGGCCATTTTAATGATGTCTGAAATGTAGTTACCAATTTCTTCCAGCTATATATCTTACTAAAAATTTTACTTGACTTCTAAAATTTTAAATGTTTTATTTTTTTTAAATCCACCTCCTTTCCCGCTCCCGCCCGGCCTACAAGTTCTATAATGATATCAGAGCAGCTACAAGTTCAATTTAGTGTGGTATGAATCACTTAATTGTTTTTGTTTAGATACAACAATAAAAACTCACAGGTTGTGTCAAAAGGTTAAAAGTAAAGGAACAGATAAAGATAAATCAAACGAAAAAAAGTATTCTTAACATTACTATCAGGCAAAGGCAAATTTCTAGTGAAAAGTATGAGATGGGACAAAACACACCAACTTATGATATTTAGGTGAAAATCCATAATGAAGATAATGCTCATAAACATTTATAAACAAAGTTTAGGTATTGTGTAGCATTTTAGAGTAAATCTAGGGATCAGAGAATGTATAAGGACTTCAAAGGATTATCAAATTTAATTCTCTGGAAAAATTTAACTTGAGTCTGGGTAGCCTGGGTCTTTTTGTTGTTGTTGTTACACTTTCCCTGGTCATTGTTGTCTGCATCTGTGGAGTTTTACTTTTTCCTTGTCTCGAAGTAGTAGCAACTTCCATTTATTTCACACCTTTTAAACCAATTTTGTTGAAAGCAAAAAGGTTATTTTCTACAAATCTCAAGGGTTGGTTAAACAAAATTAACCTATCTACCTACAGCTATTTTACAAAAGAAGGAAGGAGTAGCTGAGCATCCAACTTCCAGTGTAACTGTCCATGGCCCATCAGAACACTATACTATGTATCAATTTATAGCACTTGCTACAAAGTAGCAAAAGAAAATGCTAGTTGTGTATTCACTGTGCTCAGATAAGTCAGCATCTGTGGTTTTGCACTATTTTGTCTTACACAACTGCCAACCCACATCAATCATGACACTGCTTAGACCTGTAATATTTAATTGACTGCTTTGTTCTGCTCACTATGTCAGCTGCTTTGAGCCATCCTCGGTTAGGCAGGAAACACATTCTTCTCCTAGCTTGCAGTTCTGATGTCTCACTATTCAGTTGAGATGCCTTCTGATAAAATTAGAGTAAACAGGATTGCAAAGATTCTAGCACGGACCTGTTCTGTAGGACAACGATGCCAACCCGGAGATTCTAGTCCAGCCTCAATGTAACAGGAAGACATTCTCAGCCAGTCTAGTCTGTTGCCTTAGTCACAGAGCTTGTTAAGGTGGAAACACGCAGCACGTTCCCAGACTTTCTACTCGGAATCCGTTTCCAAAACTCATTGCACATGCATGAGGGTAAAACACAAATACTAAAACTACACACAAAACAAAACTTGTAAAAGGGGTGGAAAGTAAGAAGACTCTACATAGTCTTCCTATGACTCTGACCCAGTAATTAGAGATTAACCAGCACCCAGAAAATGATGGTTGGAAGTTAAGAGTAATACATTTGATCACTCAAAATTCTATTCACCAGCACCTGATATCCTAGAAACACTGGGGGGATGCAGGAAGAATACGAATGGTCCACCCCTGTGGGATTCACAATCTAGTGGAGCAGAAAGTTGTGAATGTATAAATGTGGGGACTTGTGGGAACTATTAGGGACCTACGAACAAGATGTATATATCAAGAGCCCTGATAACAGAGCAGCTCAGGCGAATTCCTGGACAAAGGCGCCAGAAAAGGCTTCACTAGATGTGATATTTGGACTGGGCCCTAAAAGGTGCATGGTAGAGAAAAAGAAGAAGTGGAATCAGGTCCCAATAGAGCAAGGCCAGGCCTGCCTCACATTCCCAGCCAGTGAAGTGGTAGGAACGAGAATGTAAAACTAGATGAGGACACGGCACCATCTCCTGTTTCGCAGCAGGGCGCACCCTGGAGGCACACATGCTCTCCTTCCCACCCACAAGGGGTGAGCCCTGGCTCCGCCTCCTAACCTGGAAGACTCCTCCCTCCATGTGAGGGGCCAACAGTGACCTCTGAACTTCAGCAGCACTTCTGAGAGCCCCAGCCACTCACTGCAATCCTAGACCTCACGTGCCGCACGCACAAACCATTCGCTGACCCAACAGCAAACCAAATAAAAGCAACATCACCCCAAAAAGTTAAAAAGCAGCGTGGTTACACGGGCCTCCAGGGACTGGCCTAGAGAACGCATAGGGGAGGACACCCTCATGATAGAGTGAGGCCTTCAGTGGGGACTGGAAAAGAACGAGGCAGGCCCTTCTGCCACACCAGACGATCTAGATTTTGTCCCCTAACAAGAAGCATAAACTGGTTTTTGATGAGGAAATGTTGTGAGAAAGAAAACTGCAGCATAATACAGAAGGTGAACAGAGGACAGGTTGAACCAGCAGCAGGGAGACACAAGCGCAATAGTCTAAGAAGATAAATGCCCAGACCAGGGAGCAGACAGAGAAAAAGGAAGACAGATGGACATAAGGGACATTTCTACCTGGAGTTAGAATTTGGTGCACAGTGGATATAGAAGGTGAAGGAGAACACACTGTGGTCTCTGAATTGGGAAGCTGGATAAATAAAAATGGGATATATGACAGGTTTGGGGAAGGGAGGAGAGTAAAGGGATCTAGACCATGGTGGAAGAATCAGTCTCAGATCAAAAGAGGGACGGACAGAGAGGGGAAGGAGTGAGGGGTGAGCTGAGCTGGGGCTGGTGAGGAGTAGGGCATGGGCGGCAGTTGACCCTACATTATTATTCTACCTACCCCCTACTTGGTTGGCATTTTCCAGTATTATTTCCTTGGTTCTCTTTGGCTTTCTCTCTCCTGCTTCCCCCGGGGTGCTCATCCACTCCCAGGCCTTCAACTGTCATTTACGTAACAACAACCCTCAAATTTCTCTATCAAGCCCTGAACTGAGCTATTACAGAGTGGTCACCTCGATAGCAACAGTTGGATTGCTCACAGATGTGGCTAATTCCCTAGAGTGCGACCAAAACTCAAATGGATCTCTCTTGAGTGAGAAATGGTTAGTGGAAGAATGCTATAATCCCTAGGGAAAGGTTGAGACCCAGAAGGCAGGAGTCAGAAAGTGTCTTTATATCAAATCATTTCCATTTCTTCATTATTCCAAAACTCAGTCTCCACACGGAGACTACAGAAGGCAAGAGCTACACAAGAATCGTGTACCAAGGAAATGAAGAGAATGTTGCCTGGCTTATTTGAGGATGTCTAAGTGGTGTGTAGGGGAAATGTTTGTGAAAGGGTTGTTATATGTCCAAGGGAGTATTGTTCTTCAAATTATGGTGATATATCTAAAGATCTGCATTAAAATAGTTAGGAAAGACATCACAAGTAGACAAATAAGTAAAAAATTTTAAGGAGAAAATGTCTCTCACTATATATATATATATATAGAGAGAGAGAGAGAGAGAGAGAGAGATTATTTTTATTTAGTTATGTTTTAAATTTATTTTTGTTACAGATGTGTCTCCTTTTCCTCTGCAGACACCTTCCTCCCTATCCCACCCCCACCAAGCAGTGTTGTCTATGTCCACTGGTTACACATACATGCATCTAAGTTCTTTGGTTTATCTCATCCCTCCAATATATTTTTATTCACTCCGATGTATTGCCAAGTTTGCCTTACATATTTCTTCTCAAACTCCAACAGCGCTCATAAAAGGTGTGTGTGTGAGGGGAGAGGGGGTGAAGACATGAATTGACTTTCAAACTCCAAAAAAAGAAAATGAAGGCTAAAATAAGACCATCAGAAGTGAAGTATTTTAAAAACAATGACAGGGCAAATGAAATAAAGCACAATCATTCTCTGAAGCATTACCTAGTCTGAGATGTCATAGCAATTAAGAGACTAAGAGGTGAGTGGCCTTCCTTATCTTTTTACATGAGCAATGACAAAAAGTAGCAGCTCTTCTATTATTAGTTTTTCCTTACCTTTTAAAAATACTCCTGATAAGATGACTGGAGTGCTAACTTCACGAAAAAAGTATCCTGTCTTAAAAATTACCATGACAGCCTTGGCCGGTTTGGCTCAGCAGTTAGAGCATTGGCCTGTGGACCAAAGGGTCGTGGGTTCAATTCCAGTCAAGGGCATGTGCCTCGGTTGCAGTTCAGTTACCGGCCCCGGTCTGGGTCATGCCAGTGGCAACCAATTGATCTGTCTCTGACATCAATGTTTCTCTCTCTCTCTCCCCCTCCCATTATCTGAAAATAAATGGAAAAATATCCTCAGGTGCAAATTAAAAAAAAAAAATTACCGTGACCAATTTTGTTTTCCCTATTGTGCTGCTTTAAAGAGCAGAGACCTGTCTCTGGGTGTCCTCTTCTTTGTCCACTGATGGCTGTTCTGTGAGGCCTGGGTCACAGAGGCGGGTCCCCATCAGCGATGTCTGGGCAGAAGCAATCACGGCACTTACCAGGGACTCGCTGGCACACTGGAACACGTAACAGATATACTGGCTCAGCCCCGGCTCTGGTGACTCCCGACAGATAAAGCCAAAGTGATCCACGTGCTTTATACCCTGGGGGAAGAAGTGGGTGTTTATGGGATATGTCCTTTGAATCAACACTATAGAAAACAACTTCGGTTCTATGCTCTCACACTTCCGCCAGTCCCCTACAGCGCTGTGATAGGGACATAATGTCAAAACTGTATAGGGTGGCCTTTTGATACATAAAATAGAGGGTGAGACCAAAACCTCACATTTTTAAAATATTTCAGACAAACACTGTTTACTCAGGGCTACAGGAAGAAAAATATGATGGCATGATCCACTGTCTCTTGTAATAAAACTGCTACTCGGTGTTTGCAGGTAATGGAATTTTCAATTTATTGGTCTCCTTAGAAGAGGCAGCCTGGTGATTCATCACACACCCTGAATCCATAGGCTAAGAATCAGAAAAACATTATCTGACAACGCTCGAACCAAATGGCATGCAATTCCCTAAAGTGTGCATTAAAAATACTAGAATAGTTGTCTACTTATAGACTTTAAGGAGCCATACCTGCTAGAAGACAATCCAGTAATTATTGCAGGTGTCAATTATCCAAATTCACAAATCACTGTATTTCCTGAATGCAGGCTAAATAACCTCAGCTATCCTTAATAAAAAGTTCTGAACCACTTGTGAATCTCAGTCAGCCTGAACACATACATACCAATTAGTACACAGTACCTTGTTATTTTAATAGCAAGCATAGGACGTGAAAAGCCAGGTAGGCAAAAATTTAAAGTTGTCCTGGATTCCACATAAATCCCAATGAAAAAAGGGGGTGGGGGTGGTGGCTATGGAGTCAGAGAGATTTGAGCTTCACCTTAGTTCTACCCTTCACTAGGTATGAGACATTATGCTGGGTTGCCAGTAATTGCCCCTGAGGCTCCATTTCTCATTATAAACCAGTAGTAATGGCATCTATTGCAAGAAATCTTTGTGATTTGGAACCAAGAAGTATCTAACCGACTTCCTGGCACGTTTGATAAATGGTAACCACTCTTCTTGTAATAACAAGCTTGAGCTATCCAACTGACATGGGAAAGGGAAATCAACTCTGATAAAAAGAAAGAAGTCAGTCGTGAGGAGTGAGGTTATAATTCACGAGGTGAAAGTCAGCTCCATCTGGTACAACTCATTAGTGATTAAAGAATATCTTTTACCAGCTTAATACTAAATGAGAAAAACTCATAGGACCTCATTAAGTCAGTGAGTCTTCAGGGAGTGGGCACTGTTTCCAGTAAAGAAAACCACTCTTATTCCCCATGCTGACCAGGGACGCAGTCCTACAGATTCCGAAGAATGAAACATTAGTGCGTTCACATGTTTAAACGCATGCTTATTCCTGAATGTGACCACATGATATCAGCTCAGTTCTGTGGAAAGAAGTAATAAGAGCAGGGCCTCTCAGTGAGGAACAGAGGCTAACCTGACAATTATTCCATTCAAAGGCCATTCCACAAATTTCTGTCATATTTTTGTATAATTATTTTTCTGGACCAGAATGTCAGAATAGAAAGCTTACTTAAAAAATAAAATAAAAAAGGAAAAGCAAAAATCACATTTGAACTGCCAGTCCAGTTTTACATATTTGGTTTGGCTCCATTGGGTTTTTTTAAATTTTTTTGATTGTTGTTTTGTTTTTCCTTTATTTTTTTCCTTTGAGTGCTCAATGAGCATCACCAGTTTTCTTACTAAAAGGCTTGGAGACCGTGGGGTGAGAGGCACTTTTTAGGATGATTCTTCATGCTCTGGGAAGCAGTCACTACACTAGTTTGTATACCACTCTCTCCCCAGTACTTGGCACAAGACCCTACAAAGAGAAATATGCACTCAACATTTACTGAATACCTAAGTGTTAAGATCTGTCTTAACACATCTTATTCTGATGCTCTACAGAATAAGACAACACACAATAAGACACCTGCTCTCATAGAGCTTAGGATCTTGCAAGGACTCCCAGGAAACAGCTAATTATGAAAATGCTCAATAAATACTTTTTCTGTTAAAGTGATAATCTTTCTACCCCATTTTTTGTCCTTTCAATAGGGACTTAGAAATTTGCAACATATGTTTCCTATAGAGGGATGCTGCCTCTCTCTGTTACTAGAGTAAACATTTTTACCTTTGCAACATAATTTTGTCTCCATACAACAGCACAAAAGAAACAGCATTAGCTGAGGCTGAAGTGACTAATTAACAAGATGTACAAAACCTTGTCATTTTCTAAGGGGAAAATGTTTGAATAGCATACCTATGGTAATGCTAACTCCAAAAAAAATTTTTTTAAGACAGTTTTGAGTTTTCAACATTAAAATATAGGAAGAGATGTTGTCCAGGTCAGCTCCCTGTAGGTACATCTAAGTCACCTTGCTAGGAAAGAAGTTAACCCTTCTCTATTCCAGTGACCTCCTCAAAGGCACCTTGCATTTTCAACCTGCCCATATTTAGATTTAGACTCTCCTTGTACTCCAACATCTTTATTTTTTTTTCTATGTTTACAATATATTTAGGTAGTTCTGACTTTTGGATATATTCTAAATTATCAGTATGGTGCTTAGGACATTCATTTGTGCCTAAAATGACTTTGTACACATTTAGCTGTATCAAATATTTAAAGAACTTTCAAAATCACAGTTTGTGAATTAAAAATAAACAAAAGCCCTGGCCAGTGTGGCTCAGGTGTTGGCTCATGCACCGAAAAGTTACTGGTTCAACTTCAGGTCAGAGCACGTGCCTAGGTTGCAGGCTCGATCCCCAGTAGGGGGCATGCAGGAGACATGCAGGAGACAAGCTCTCGTGTGTGTTGTGTGTGTGTGTGTGTGTGTGTGTCCCTTCCTCTCTCTCTAAAAATCAATAAAATAAAGATAAAACAATCTTTTAAAAAATAAAATATAAAGTATTTTTAAAAAGAACAAAAATGTACCAAAACTTTCTTTTCAAAAGTTAGCATTTACACTAATACAAGTTGAAAGTACTGGTTCTCTTATACTGCCTACTACAGTATAAAGAGCAAACATGATTCAGTGATACCCACAAGTCTCATTGCCCAGAATTTGGAGGAACACTATCTATGAAGTTATTTTTTAAAAGAACTCATCACCACAAAAATCCCATCAGTGGAAACAACTTAATGAAGTGACACTATGAAGAGAAAGGGTTGACAAAAATGAGGACAAACTGTTATGATACTGAGAAACCTGCACAGGCCTTTGTTACTGGCATAGACACAAACACATGAACATTCTCAGTTTAAGACAAATCCACTTAAAAAATTAACACAACTTGAAGATGTTAAAGCCCAGTTACTTTGTGGTTAATTTAGAAACAAGATTCAGTTGGTTTCTTCAAAGCTATGATCTACTTTAATACATACCTGTGAACAAGAAGAGATATCTTTAAAATTCTTTTCAAGTACAACTGACTTAGTGTCTGGACTGATAAGGTTAATCTCAAATCGTCCAACCTTAAAAATAAAAACATCCAATTAATTTCAATATTCAAGGACCTAACATCTTACTTTACAATTAAATATTCAACTAATAATATAGATCCAAAGGCTATATCCAGACATACAAATTCACATGTGCTTCATCATCCAATCCAACCAATATTTCAACTCCAAATATCAGCTGCCTCATAATACTTCTTCCTTTTGCCTGAAAATCATAAAAGTTAAGTTGGTAATTAAGTTGGTCTTAATTTACAAGATAAAAGAAAGCTTTTTTTGTTTCAGATTAAAGTGATTATCTCTTCAAAAACAATGCAACCTTTCCTTTATGATTTCTAAAAATACGAATTATTTAATTATAATTTATAATCATACTTTCTCCCAAATGGTCAACAGAAAGATATACTATTTGCCAATGGGCAAATCATTTTTTTTTTATTTAAATAAACAACTATTCAGAAAAGTGAACATCATGGACTGTGGCTAAGAAAAAGAATAAATCTCATAGCCCAAAGAAGAGGGGAAACAGCTAACACATTATCTAAGACAAAACCACCGACATTTTAATAATATGTCTAGAGTAATAATAATAATTTTTAAAAAATGAAAGAACTCATGAACTTCTGATAAAGCAAATATTACACACAGGGACTGTTTATCAAGTAGTTCTGCTGTGGAAGTTCCTTTTCTTGGTTTCTTTACAACAGGATAAATGGGCTGCCACTCTTTTTTTTTTTTTTTTTTTTAAAGAAAACTAATCTTACAAACTCAGGATTAAAGAACCTCTACAGGGCTTTGTAACAAATTGAGCTCATTTAAGTGGAATTTATTTTCTATACCCTGTACAACTTTTAAAACTTTTTATAATTAAGACATTATCTTTTATACCTATAATACATATATGCACCAAATTTTAATCCTTCATCTAGTAAATTATGAGGCCTATGGTGTTTCTTTAACCTTCTCTTTTGGGTATAATCTCATCTGAAAATATACCTATGAACCTCTGAACTTTTCTTTTTTTGTCCCTCTAGAAAACTTTCTCTCACCTCCATGCCTAATCACACTCTCCAGATTCACATCTGCCAGTCCTCTATAAAACTGGCTTTCTGGCCCTGGCCAGGTGACTCAGTTGGCTGGAGTGTCAACCGGTACACCAAAAGGTTGTCAGGGCCCATACCTAGGTTGAGGGTTCAATCCTCCGGGCAGGCTTGTAGGATTGATGTTTCTGGCCCCGCCCCCTCCCCACCCTCTCTGAAAGCAACAAACATATCCTCAGGTGAGGATCTTTTTCAAAGTGAAGAGAAAACTGCCCCTTCAGGGTCCCAAATGAAATAAGAGAGTCATAACTGGAGGTCACTGTGCACTCCCATTAAAAAAAAAAAAAAGTGGCTTTCTGCGGTTATTTAAAAAACAGCAACAACATTTATTTAAGAATCCGCTTAAGGCAAACTGCTGGTGATATGAATACTCTTCTGTTCTTACTCCGTCCACTAGCTTTCCAGAGTGCTCCTTTCTGTAACTGCTTTTCTCTGCACCTCTCCCTGCCCTGCTCCCTCGTTTCTTATCACCCACATTCCACGTCTGCCTCCCAGCCCTTCCCTCCGGTCCTTGGCTCTTTCTCCAGCCTGTCTTATCTGCTTCCCAGGGCCGGAGCGATAAAAGTTGGCTTATTGCAGAATGGGGAAGTGGGAGGGCCGGCCCTGGCGGCTCTGTCTAGCAAAGGAAGGCGAGCGAGCCCCCTGCGGGGCCGCACCTGGAACAGCATGGTCCTGTTCTTCTCCGCATCCGACGGCTGCACGTGGCTGGGCGCGCTGGCGTGCCTCCTCCGCGGCTGTGGCTTCTGGCTGTTCTCGTGGACTTTCCTCTGCAGGACTCCGGTGACGCTGCTGCACCGAGACCGGAACTCCTGCTGTTCATCAAAGCCAGAATCTTCCAAAATCCGCTCCGGGAAGCAGACTCGAGAGCTGGACAGCGCAGGCTGGCTGGGCACGGCTGGCAAGGCAGGGTGGGTGTTGGTGATGCCGTCGCCCTCCTCCAGCAGAATGTCTGCGGGCCAGCTGGGCCCCTCGACTTCGAAGACGACCTGGCCGTTGCCCGCGTCCAGGCCGCGCTGCTCGGCCTGCATCCTCAGGCGCTGCTGCTCGTGCAGGCTGAACTTCTCTATGCAGTCGTCGATGAGGCTGGACGGGGCCTTCTTGTGCGAGACCGTCACCTTTCCGCAGTACAGCACCTCGAACTTCTGGGAGTTGTAGAAGGCGTCCTCGTTGTCCTTGCTGGGCTTGGCGTCCTCTTTCATGGTAGCTTTGGACAACTGCCTTATGCTGCTGATAACATCAGGAACCTAAGCAATAATTAAAAAGACTCATTTCAGCGGACTCTCGAGAGACAATGTACGTTTACCTGGACTTATTATCAGGCAGAATGCATTCTCCTACTAAGTAATATAGAAAGTAACAGTCAGACCCTACATAAGATAAAACATTTACATTACACTGTCTGACATAAATGACTTAAAAGTCAGATTGACATTTGAAGAGATCAAGTTATACATTCCCATTTTTAATGTGTTCATTTTCCCAAAACAAAACCATGAGATGATATAGGCCACTACCAACCTTTAATAAATCATAGTATATAGGTTTAAAAGTTATTATAAGGTGTCAAAGTTAAAATAAAGGGGAAATGATTTAAAAAAATTTTTTAAGTGTAATGGCTGAAAAGACAAATAAATAAATAAATAAATAAACAAATAAGTAAATAAAAGTTATTATGAGCCCCGACTGAAAGTAAGCAAAGTTTCGACAATGAGGATAACATAAACTTTCCAGATTAATAGATTGGAAGCCAGCCACCCTTCATCAGCACCAGCCATCAGGGAAAATACAAATTAAAACCATAGTAAGACAACATTGCACACCTATTGGAATGGCTAACAGAACATACAAAGAGCCCACTGGGATGTGGAACAATGGAACTTCCATACACTATATTCAGAGATGTACAATGGCACAACCACTTTAGAAAATGGTTCAGTTTCTTAGGTGTTAAACACAGACTTCACTCAGGACCCAACCATTCTGCTGCTGAGATTCAGCCAAAAGCCCTGAAAACATAGTCCATACAAAAGTGAGTACACGACTATCCATCAAAGCCTTAGTCAGAATAACCCAAAACTGAAAACAACCCAAATGTTCATTAACAAGTAAACACCCCCTAATCAGGGAAATGCAGATCAAAACCACAATGAGACATCACCTCACACCTGTTAGAATGATCTCATCACAAAGACAAGCAATAACAGGTGCTGGTGAGGACTTGCAAAAAAGGGAACCCTCGTGCACTGTTAGTGGGAATGTAAACTGGCGCAGCCACTATGGAAAACAGTATGGAGGTTTCTCAAAAAAACAAACAAACAACAACAAAAAAAACAGAACTACCATATGACCCAGTAATTCTATCTCTGGGTATATACATACAAAAAGGAAAGAAAAATCACTATCTTGAAAGATATCTGCATAACTCCGATGTTTACTACAGCCATTAGTCACAATAGCCAAGACATGAAAACAACCAAAGTGTACTGACAGATAAATGATTAAAGAAAATGTGAAATAGAGAGAGAGAGAGAGAGAGAGAGAGAGAGAGAGAGAGAGAGAGAGAAAGAAAGCCATAAAAAGAAGAAAATAATCCTGCCATTTGGGACAATATGAATGAAACTTGGGGCATTTTGCAAAGTAAAGTCAGTCAGAAAAATAAAAAAGACAAATACTATATGATCTCACTTATATGTGAAATCCAAAAACAAAAAAACAAGCTCACAGAGAACAACTGGTGATGGCCAGTTGTGGGGGGATTGGGTGAATGTGGTCAAAGGTACAAACTTCCAGTTATAAGTAAATAAGTTCTGGAAATGTAATATACAGCATGATGGTCACAAGTAACAATACTATATTGTATATTTTGAAGTTGCTGAGAGTGGAGATCTTAAAAGTTCTCATCACAAGAAAAAAGTTGTAACTATGTAAGGCAGCAGTTTTCAACCTTTTTCAACTCATGACACACATAAGCTAATTACTAAAATTCTGCGGCAGCCCTGGCCGGTTTGGCTCAGCGGTAGAGCGTCAGCCTGTGGTCCACAAAGACCCGGGTTCGGTTCCCGCTAGGGGCATGTTCCTTGGCTGCATTTGTCCCTGGCCCTGGTTGGGTTGTGTGGGTGGCGGCCACTTGATGTGTCCCTTTCACATCGATGTTTCTCTCTCTTCCTCTCTCTCCTTCCCGCTCTATCTTAATAAAAAAAAAAAAAAAAAAATTCTGCGGCACACCAAAAAAAATTATATTTTTGCCGATCTGACGAAAATAGGTATAATTTTGATTGATCTAAAAAAATAATAATAATAGTAACTACCTACCTTTTTTACTCCAAAGTGACTTTTTTTAAAAATCAGGTGCCTATACCTCTATATAAGGATTTCTGGTACCAGGAATTATTATGTGATATGACCAATAAGATACAACTGTACTATATGACCTATATTTATGATTGAAGACAGTTGGCTATTGTGTGGGCTGCTGTCATTTTTTTATTTGACAATCTAAGGAAAAAAAGGTCAGTGCCCCTGACTAAATAGTTGGGTATTGCTTTTTTTTTTTTTTTTTTAATTCTCTCCCAGGGATATTTTTCCATTTATCTTCAGATAGAGTGGGAGGGAGGGAGAGGTAGAAAGAAAGAGAGAGAGAGAAAGACAGAGAGAGAGACATCAATGTGAGAGAGACACATCAATTGGTTGCCTCCCACATGACCCTGACCAGAGCTGGAGACCAAACCACAACCAAGGTATGTGCCCTTGACCGGGATCAAGCCATGACTCTTTGGTCCTCGGGCTGATGCTCTAACCACTGAGCAAAACCAGCCAGGGCATGGGGTATTGCATGTTTTAAAAATTCTTGGGAACACTGGTTGAAAATCACTGATATAAGGTGGTCAACTAAGTCTTCTTGTGGTGATTATTTCATAATGCACCCAGGTATCAAATCATTATATTGTATACCTTAAACTAACACAAATTACATGTCAATTATATTTTATTAATACTGAAGAAAAAAAGTGAATGGATAAACAAAATATGGTGCATTCACACAATGGACTACTAATCATCTCTCATCTAGTTTACTACAATGACCTTTTAACTGGTGTCAGTTGCCCCCTTCAGTTTATTTTCAAATGTCAAAAAGGATCCTTTTTAAACTTGTCATGTTAATCACGTGCAAATCCTCCAAGCCCCCCCAATTCATTAAGGGTTAAAGACCATATCCTTACAATGTTCTACAGGGCCCTTGCCATCTGCATATGACATACATATAGATTAAATGTTCACTGTGGCTACACATCCTTCATATGATCTTTAGAGAGTCAACCTGGATTTTCCTCTTTCCATCCCCACCTCATGAGCTCTAAACCTTCCTCTTACATTACACTCCCCTCACTCAGTCTGCATCAGCCCACCAGCCTCCCAGCTCTCCTGAGCCATGCCAGGCACACTCCTCTCTCCAGATCTCTGAACTCCATGTGCCCCCCCCCCAGATAACTGCAAGACTCATTCCCTCACCACATTTAAATCCATGCTCTAATGTCACCTAGTGAGGCTGCACCCATCCCCTGCTCCCACACACACACACAAACACACACACTGAGCCAGCATTTTCCTGGATTTTTCCCCGTTTTATTACTCTCCATAGCACTCACCACCTTTAACATTGTATGTAATTTATTTGCTAAAATATAAGCTCTAGGAGATTGGTGATTTTCCTTCCTTCCTTCCTTCCTTCCTTCCTTCCTTCCTTCCTTCCTTCCTTTTTTTCCTTGTTGTATCCTCAGAGCCTAGAATAATTCCTGGTACATATTAGAATCTCAATATGTGTACTAGCAAGAAAACAAAAACAAAAACTGTTTTGTTAATTTTTGTCTTTGGAAAAAGAGGAGATCATCTCATCTTCAGGGTTGCTTTACATTCAGACATCTATGGTATATCTTCAAGTCTTCTAGCACCACTTCTAAATCCGGAATTTCTTCTCCTTTGTGTGATTATTTGGGATACATTGCCAGAGAATTCACAATTTAAAAATCACAATTTCAGCTGGCTGTTATGAGTATTTCCTATGAAAGAATGAAGTCCAAACACCACAGTTTCAATGACTCACCCTGAACACTTGACATGGGTCAGGGGCGCAGTCAGGTGTTTTGTACTGAAGCATGACCAGCACCCTTAGCTCTCTGATACTTCCTTTCTACTTTAGCACCTGACAAGGTTCAGAGCTATGGAGAGTGAACTGGCTGACATTAAACCCTGCGACAGGCAAAGCCCTAAGAAAGAATGATCCCTTCTTCCTCAAAAACCAAATTTTTATTAAATACTTTTCATCTGATTTTGCAACCCAAGTGCTTCTAAATTTCCAAACATATTTCTATAAAAGTACAAAATCAGAAATATTATTGGAGGATTTTTTTGAACCTGAAGAACTTTTATCTTGTTACAAATATTTAAAGTATTTTGGTGCAGTATCAAAGTTATACTGTATTCCACCATTGAGACTGCAAATAAAGTCAATTCAGCCTCCGTTGTGTCATTTACTCTCTGTTACATGCTTGTACTTTTTCTCTTTCATTATATTGAGAGCTCTTACATGAAGCACTGATTCGTAGCTGAATGTCTGTAGTCTCAATGGTCACCTCCCTGACCACAGGTAAAGGCTCAGCACCAAAATGCAATGCAATTAATGACCCAACATATACAAGCAAAGCTCATCATCTGGACTGAACTAACTAATTTAACCTTCCAGGAATTTGAGTTGTTAACTACACTGTAAAACACAAATTCTAGTTGCCTGTAACACCTTTTCTCAGGTGACCTGTGCTGCACACAGTCTCTAACTGAGACTAATCTAACAACATTCAGCTGTTTTTACTTGTCATTATGTGGAAGACACACATAAAAGTTAACATTGCACAGCCTTGTCTACATACTCAGAGCCCACAGCAGAAGAGTCACACGGATAAAAACAATAAAATATCCGTAATAGGGAAATGAGTTATCAGAGAATCATAAATCCTTCTACTGAGGCATTTATTTATTTAAAGGAGCCATCAGAAGCAGCAGAAGAGAAATAAAATCTCCATTCAGTACATGCACATACCAATGATATTTTGGGGAAACAGCATTCTCCCAGAGGACAGTGTTAACTGACATTACCTATATAAATGAATTAGCCTTCCTGTATGTATTGCATCTTTCAGCACCCCCTTGTTTTCTGCCATTATACAAGCTCTAGAGTGAAAGAGTAGTT